TATTGTGCAACAAATTATTGATAAACATTTCTTTTTATTATTTATTACAACTCTAATCTTCTAATTGCATTCTTTTTGGTGTGTTTTGAGCAATATCTGTTATTTACAGTAAACAATTTATTATATCAATTAATATTTAAATAATTATTAAGAGAATTTCAAAGCAATATTTGTTTTCTCTCTCGGGCCAACGAGCAACATAGATAAAATGCTTGCATCTAAAATAATTTTTTATGATTTTAGATTAATCTTAGAGTAAAATCATTTATCACAAAATCCCCCTAACCTAACCCTGGCTACACCTTTAGTAGCATATTTATTTACAAAGAAGGCTGAGGTTTTCAAAAATAATAACACTATGATACAATTTCTTAAAATGTATCAAAGTTGTCAATAATTATTAAATAATATTGTAATCTAAGACCTTAGTAATTAATATACAAACCTTTGACCAGTCATATCCAGTACTGTAAGCAAATATTTGACCATTGCTATTAAAACAACATTTTGTGATTGGTTGGTCAAGTGTCTCAGATGACTTCAATTTTGTACGTGCGTCCTTATCCCAATATGCGAATGATGCATCAGAGCCCACAGTCGCTAATGTACCATGGACTGGATGAAACTTGATATCATTCACCTGTTAAAATATCAAGTAAGTAACATATAGATAAGAAACAGTGTATGTTTACAAATACATACAGCATATATGTCTTGGACATTCATCGTTCCTGAGTTATTTTGACGATGACATTTGAATGTAAAGTTGTCTTTTGAACTCTGTGGTTGTATATAATGAATAGCTACACGTCCTTCGACACTTCCCAAACCAAACCCTAAAATAAAAAACCATACATTTAAATACTTTTATGTAAATATAAATTTCTATTTTATTATATCACTAACCAGTAGGGGATTGTTTTTTCTTATCTCTGAATATTGCAACGCAACGATGTTGATATTTAAGAGGAGAGTCAACAGATTTTACCATTTCAGGTTTTCCTTCTAGTTTATAAACAACTATGCCCCTTGATGCTGTACCAACAACTGCCATAGGATAATCCTAAACAATAAAACAATGAACTGCTGATAGTATTTCTACAACTATGGTAAAAAAAACAATAGTAAATATAAGACAAAATTAATTATTAATTATAAGGTATGATAATTATTTTAATAAGAAGTTAACTAATAATTTATATTTGAGTAATATTGATAATTATCAACTTACCACATCAGCACAATAAGCTCTCTCAGGTAGATTAATGGTCATCATGGGAACTGAACTTCTAACATCCCAAAACTATAGAATAAAAAATAAAGAAGATATAATACTTGAAGTACATAATCTAATATTTATTCTTGAAATAAGAATTTTAAGGGGATAGCAAATGGACAATTATTTCAACCAAAATATACAAATCTTTCGTCAATCACACCAATGAACCTGATACCGGGATAAAACATTGAAAACTGATTTGGATTCATTAATATGTCTACTTGAGATCGATCAGGCCACTTTTTAAAAATGTTGTTCCTAAATTCCTATGAATTTTGTTTGAATATTGATCGTTCAAAAATTAAATTAAATATCTTAAAATGTAGCCTGATTGATCTCAAGTTTCAAATTCAAATCAGTTTTCAGAAGTCCTATCATGTTATCAAGTCCATCGGTAGGATTGACAAGAAGTATATACAAATGAGCACAAATTGTTTACTGTTCATGCATGGAAAGCTACCTTGGTGACTTGTATGTGCGCGTGCAGGAGCACTCCACTATTTTATTCACTCAATCACACATACTAATAATCACTTATTATGAGCACATTAACAAGACTAACATACATACAATTTTAAAATTGCCTATTTAGAACTCCATAGAAACTGTCAGTTTGCAATCTCCTTAAGAAGATATCACATAGGCATTTGTTGTCTCCATCTTATAAACATGACAAATTTTACGTTCACAGTAGGTAATACATATTACTCTGTAATTTCTAAAGTTAGAGTAAATTTACCTCTTATAAAATGTAAAGGCAAGAATATTATCATAGGCATGTCTGAAGATATTATTGATGATATAATTTTTAAGTAAGTTATGACTTATGACCATTTTTTAAACTGTCAATTTTTTGTAAATTTTAAAATGATCATAATTTACTTAAGAATAATATCAATAAGATCTTCAGAGACGCTCTGGATAATATTCTTACCTTTAAGTTTTATAAGATGCAAATCACTCTAATTTTATAAATTACAGAGTAAAATGTAATATTGTGAACCTAAAATCTACTATGTTGAACGTTTGTAAAACAGACAACAAATGCCCATGAGGAGGACCCTTGAGGTAAATTATTTTCATTTACAAAAAAATTTAGTAACTACCGCAATACATCTTTATTTAGAATCAATGTTGCTGATAGTTGTAATTTGTATTTAATATTTATCATATAATATTATATTAGCTATTATGAATAGCTTATACTAAAAAATAATTGATATAAGCTATCATCAAATACATACAATATCAGAAATATCTGTATATTATAAAAAAAAACATTTGACATACTTTTAATGTTTTATCCCATGAGCCAGTCATGATACAAGTGTAAGATGGAGCTTTGACCCAATGACAAGTCTTTATGGGTGCATCGTGAGCTGCCACTTGCACCGTTTGATTGCTTCCTAAATCCCAGCATTTTACTTGTTTGTCACAAGATGCCATGAAAACCTTAGTGCCATCATCACTCCAGCACACGTCTAAAATTGGCATGGTCATTGACTGCATGGATTTTGGTACAGTTTTACCGCTCTGTTCAACTTCCCAACAACGTACCTAAGATGAAAATGAAAAAAATCTCAATTCATGACATGACTCTACATGTGTTTGCACATCTTACGCTGTTATCCCAACTACCCGCAATGAGAAAGTTTTGCTGCATTGTGGCCGGACTGAAGGCCATAGCCGAAACGGTGTCATCGGGAGGCTGTGTGACTTCAAAATCCTTATTAGGGTTTGTGGGCGCAGCCACTGGTTTATTGGAAAATAAACCTCCACCCAACATAGTCTATAAACACAGGTCAGTTAAGCATGTGTGTCTGGCGAATTATAAAACGTACAATGATAAATAATAATGTCAATCGGTTTACCTCAGTTATTGACCGTAACTACTAAATGTCAACTACTACTTCTACTGATTTTCCAGTCAATGGTCCTTGTAACAGCTCAGCTAGCTTCTTCACTTTTGAAAAAGTTCAAAGCCCCAACCGGTCGACGAAATCAAAATACCGCACCGGTCGACAAATTATTAATACAAGTGTTTACAGCGTTCAAAGCGCATTTCATAATCCCCGCTTATCGTATCGACAGTGATTATCAATATACGTTAAAGCCATGGTATATTCTGTGGTTATACCGCGCTCGAAACATATTATTTGTTTGCCAATAATAAACATGGTCAAGATAATCGCAGTGTTGCCAGTATTCAAAACCGAGATTACCGTAAAGTGTCTTCAAAATTACAGTTTTTTCCCTAAAATGTCGGTACCAAATTAAATTTTTTAATTTTATTCGATTCGATGTTTACTGACATTTCAGGGGAAAAAATGGTAATTTTAAACTGCGGTCGTCGTATACTGTGTACTACAACGGTGATTATAGTATTTTCACGATTTTCAGATACATAAACAGTGATGATCTACCCTCAACAAACACTTTTCTCTTTTTAAAATTTAAACTTTAAATTCACGATTTCAAATCTTCGTTTGTTGTTAAAGTATTTGACTAACCCTCGTTACACATAATACCTATCACCATGATACTACCTAACTGCCTAAACAATTTAATCACCCATTAAACCACCAAGTTTGTCTATTTATAAAATAAAATAACTTTCTTTTTCAGTTTTGAACCAACGACCCCACGGGAACTGCTTCCGCGCGTGGCCTATTTGTAAATAATGACTAAATTAATTTGTTTTTACTTATAATAAAATTATATTATACTATTGTTAAAAATATAGTTTTTTATCACAACACTAGGCTGTTGTAATGTTACAGAGATGTCATGCAGTTCCAAAGATGCTGAAGTATTAATATATTATTATCCGTCAACGTTTCCGGAATGTTCATATTATTGTATAAGCTTAAAACGTTTGTAAGACCAAACTTTTCAACATGTTTTGGTAACGGTTGAGTTCAGCACTGCAACTTAGATCATAAATCGCTACAATGTTTTGTAACTTAAAATGCACAGAGGGAGAGGGGAGAGTACGTAGGATCTCAAATTTTACGACTAGACCTATTGTCCACCAGGAAATAATCGTAAAAATAGTTATTAGGTATAACCACAGATATATAAAAATACTAGATAGATGACTCCCTATTCCTACAAAGTAAAAATTATGAAGACTACAAAATGGCCGAGATTCTCTTATCTAAGAGGTTGAATGTTTACAAAATATCATATTATATCAGTGTTGTGAAAATGTAAACATTTACCTCTTAGATAAGAGAAATTCTTCCATTTTGCGGGCTTCAAAATCATTTCCAAGTCGTCTATCTAGTACTTTTATATATCTATGGGTATAACTTAGTAGGTAAAGCATAAAGACAATTATAACTTAAAAACGAGATAGGCGAAGTAGTGCGTTGTGCAAATGAGTACAAATCACAAAACAACAAACTTCATTAGGTAGCAGATCGTGGCCTCAATTACTGTTGCACTCAGCACTGTCTGGCCACCGGCCACTGGGGCAGTGGGGCTGGGGTACAACAATTTTTCAATATTCTGTGTTAACGTCCACCAGCTCCTACTCGCCTCCTGCCAATAGTGTCCACAGTACTCCAGTTTAGAATTCGTGGTAGTAGTTTATGGTCACAAAGATCTGTGGTAATAGTATACCATGTTTCTATTATGTACTATCACTGTATATATTGTGATAAGAAATCAAACACTTCTTATCAAAGATAAGAAGTGACCACTCTGTATAATTAATGTATTATCTACATCGTGTACTGAACTTCGTTGAATACATCGAATGTGCATAAACATTGAAGATAATTTTTCTAAATATCTAAATATTTCACATAATTGTGTAAAATGTAATTATGAAATCACTGTCGAGCCTGGCCTTAATTTGTAAATTGTTGTAACTTCTTCTATTACATTATTTTAGTTTTTTTTTATTTTTAAAATGAGTTGCCTCCTTAGTAAATTCTGCAGGTAAAACTACTTTAGAACTGAAATAGCAGTCTATCAGTTCCCTTACTGATGACATTTAAATTTTTGTTTCTATTGATGTACTACAAGTTAACTTTTATTTGTAACTTAATATTATGATATTTTTTTATTTTAGTATTAAGTCAACTGTTCAGCTACGGAAATTATCTGTGCCTGCTAATTCTCTCCTTGCTAGAAGAACATTCAATCGGCCAAATCATAATTTTAAGAGATTTCAAAGTCAATCCAATTCTCTTTTAGGACCTTCTTTATTTTGTATATCTGTAATAAGTTAATATAAACATTTATGAAAACTTTATTTCCAATTAAATATTTTCTTCTTTAAGGTATGCACCGGTTCGGTAGTGTTGGCATCAGTTATTCAATATGAGCGACTTCGTGTTAGTGTTAAGAAAATCGATCCTTTTGAATTTTACAGAAATTCTATCATTAGGAAAAACGAGGTGAAAATTATTACTATTCATTATAACTATTTAAATTAATTTTCTGTAACCAACAAACTTATAGCAGAATGAGATAAATTAATGAAATATGTTGAAATATTTAGTTTTGCTCAAACAAAAGATAACAATTTTTATTTACAGTTGAATTTTATGATTTATAATTCAAATTTATTGTTTATTAAAATATTAAATTTATCTCAGGTATATTATCTCAAATCTCCAATCACATTAAAACTACTTTTTGATATATTTCATTCATTTATTCATGTATATATTATATTATTTTAATATTTTAAATTAATTAATTATAATACAAAATTGAATTTTGGTTTCATATCACCTATAAGTACCTATGTTGAGTTTATATTTATAACAAAATTTTGTTTCTAGAATTTTATTTCCAAGTTGAAAAATAATTTCAATAAATTACAACCATCGGAAAAAGTATTTGGTACCATACTTCTTTTAAATGCCATTGTTTTTCTTGCATGGCAAGTACCTCAATGGCAACATATCATGATCAAATATTTTATGACTGATGCACTTGCTAGTAAGTTTATTCCATTTTAAACTGTCAATTTAATTTAAATTATGATTAAAGCTCATTGACGAGTTCACATAACTTAGTAGATATTAACTATAAGTCTACGATTAATTTTAAAAAATCAAAACTCATTTTAGGAAAAATTCCAGTGTCATCACTTCTTCTAAGTGCTTTCAGTCACAGTTCCCCTGTACACTTCTGTTTTAATATGTACGCTCTTCATACTTTTTGCCGAGGTAAGTGTTAAATATTGAATATTTTATTTATTGTAAACTAACATTTTATGACCAAGGTGTGATCCAACCGTGGGGTGAAATGGGACCGGAAGAATTCACTGCAATGTATATAAGTGGTTGTGTTGTTTCATCATTAGCTAGTATTATTTTTAGACGAAGCTTTAAATTTCCTGGAAATAGCTTAGGCGCTGTAAGTATAACCTTAATTTTATAACAAACAAGTACTCGTGAAAATAGTTTTAATAGTCTAATTGTGTTTCTAGTCTGGTGCCATATTATCGGTTGTTGGATACTTTTCACTATCGAATCCCGATCAAAAATTGGGTATAATATTTTTACCAAACATACAATTTGATGCAATTCATGTAAGCCATATTATATTCAATAACATTTAACTAACATTTATTTTTGTTATTGATTTGAATTATTTTCAGGAGAAAAATACTTTATACCCACCACGGAACTAAATACTTAGTTTAGTTCAGTGATTCCCACTAGGTTTCCAAAATAAGAATAATCTAGGGTTTAAAAGTACTGATTAGATTCTCACTGTCCAGTATCAACAATTATTTTTAGTTGATTTTTTCATTTACTGTATCAAAAAAATGTTGAACAAATAATTTTGAAATAATTAGATTTGCAAAATATTACACAATTATTTTATTAAAAAAATATTGATTCAAATAATCATGTATTGCATAGCCTAATTTAATTTAATTTAAAAATCACTTATCTTACCAAATTGAAATTTAACATTTATATTTTAACATGATTTCAGGCCTTATTTGGTATAATATCGTTAGACATAATGGGATTACTTTTGAAGTGGCAAATGTTCGACCATGCAGCTCACTTAGGAGGAACATTATTTGGAATGTAAGTAAAATAAATTATTGGTGTTATTCCTCATAGATCAATGTGTATACTGTAAATTACAAAAAAACAAAAATTGCCAATTGGATATATACTTTTTGCTAAATTTTGTAATTAGTTAAGTAAATTAATAATTATTAATTCATATATTTAACAACTATAAAATCCTAACCATTTGTCAATTCGACAAACACTGATAATCTTATACACATTAATTTTATTATATTTATAGTATGCTCCCATCTGTCTCTCGTAAATATTGTATCTAAAGTACAATATTTTATTGCTATCAGTTAGTCCTTGCATGTTCATTCCACATGACCCATATTGTCTTTTTGACTGCTCGTAAGTAATGTAATATAAATGACTGACAGAAAATAATCTATTTTATACTTAATTTGTTGATTTGACAAATGGTAAGCTATAATGGGGTAACAGTTAAATAAGCCTTCAATGGTTAACATATTGAAAGTAGTACAGGAACAACTCGACAGTTTGGTATGATTTGTATAATATCTGTTACCTTATTATTTAACTTATTGTCTAATTTAATTTGTGCGGTTTTCAGTTTTAGTTATGTCTTATTCTATCTATACAATTAAACTGAAGAAAATGCATAACATTGAACATACATAATTAAATGTGTCAAATTAAACAATGACAATAATATGAGTTATAACTTATTTGATAGGTTTGTTTCACAGCTGATCAGCAATGTTAACAAATAAATGTATACAAAAATACGGTGACAATCTATTCCCAAGGCTTGCCAAATGGTTGATACCCATTTGTTTTTCCCTGAATTTTCACTTTTCGCTAAATTTAAATTTCTGTGATTACATACCCTACCACAGTTGAACCACCTATTTGAGAAACGATGTAAGTCACAAAATATCACAAATTGAGATATTGAGTGGAATGTGTTATCAAATAAACAGATCATTTGTGAACATTTGAAAAATAAAATATTTCATTTTATCACTATTATAATCAGTATAAAAAAGTAATAACTATAAAAACAGTTTTTTCTTGTTTTCTCAGGATTAATTTTTATGGAATTATGTTGTTTCTCAAATAAGTGGGGTTTACTTATAGATACATTATAATATATAATATATAATATATAATACCTATACACTATATATAATATATGATGTTATGGATAAATGACATTTTATTCATAAATCTGAAATAACATTGAAAAAAAAACTGTCAAGTCTGCTGTACAGTTAGTGGGAGTCGAATTAAGTAGGTCAATGTAAATGATGTATTAAAAGTGCCTTCAGACAAAAATAAATAAAAAAGCACACATCATTGTGAAATCAATACAATCTTAGTTTCATTCAAAATGTAAAACAAAACTTTTAGGTATTCACCAAACTTTTTAAAAATGACGCTGTCATACAAAATAGTATATAATATTGAAAATACTAAATAGTAAATAGGTAATTATTGCAAGTAACTATTATTATTATTAGAAAATTGTATGTATGTTGTATTCTTGTCTCTATTATTATTTGATAACTATACTGTTTTATGCAGGTTTTGGTACAAATATATGTCAACATATGTATGGAACAATCGAAAATATATTGTAGGTAATTGGATAAAACTAAAACAAATTGTTCGAGGCAGAGATAAATGATACAGTAATTTTATATTTATATAAAAAACTTTCTAGTGATTTTTCTATTAAATTGTGTTGTTAATAAAATTGTTGAACTAATAAATTATTGAATGTCTATTTTTTTTAGTAATTTTTAGCCAGTTGGTCACATGAAAAAGCATTATGTAGATGTGCGCTGCGATGGACTGTGTACTACTTACTGGTAAACCCCCATGAGTTTTATATTAATTATTAATGTCTTATCGTCCATATCTTAATGTATTATCAATAAAATTAGCATTATAGGTATTTTGTTTTTATCATTAATCATTAAGATGTGTACAAAAAGTTTTCAAGTATCGATTTTTGTAGAATTATAACATAATGCTATACTTTGCTATTATTTGTATTATGTGATTGTAGCAGTTGGTGGCGTGGCTGTGTGGTCCACGGCTCTGTGAGACACATACAACTATAGCAACTCACATTTTATAGGTCTAGTTGGACTAGTTGTGCTTTTGGCTTACATAGGTATTTTTATAGTACCTAGTAAGTAGTAAATTTATTAAATGGTTTTGTTTTTTAAAATGCATTTATCTGAACTTGTCACCAGACTTCCGCCCATTTTTTTCACATAGTTTTAAAGTCAATTAATCTTATGTGAGTTCATACATTTAAAATTCGTTTTCATTGTTCATTTAAATACCTGCATTCGATAGTTGCTGTTGCAGTCGCAACAAAAATTGTAATAATTAATAATATTTAAGTAAAATTAAATACGGGGTAGGATACTGGCTACACACACGCTACATCACCGTTATTGGTTGTTTTCGTATTTTTAGTGGGTACGTGTCTCGTGTAAGTCATGTGTTACATAGTATTATTTAAGATAACTCGACAAAACGATATTACGAAAGTATTAACTATTAATAGTATTATGCAGATTACATGTTAACTCGCCAGTGCGCGACAATCATAGACCTTACTACTAGAGACTTGACAAGCAATGAGTCGTGAATGTGTAGAAAGCGTAACAACACAGAGAGCGCTTTTTGATTACTCCATCACTCGTACGCTTGGTAGTGTGGGGTGACGGGGTAAGATGACAAAGACTCCCACTACCCGTTCCTAAATTTTGAATATTAAAAAAATACGTGAGTAGATACTATAACATAGTACGTCATACTACATACTACTAAGCAAGGCAAAGAACAAGCGTGATAAAAAATACACAAACTATACAAAAAAATATAAGGTATTAGGTAGTCAAACCATAGAAAAGATACAAACATTTGGTCGTCATCAAATGTAAAATTAATTTGGTAGATTGTAGGTATACCACTGACAACAATTTAAATCCACTCCACATTTTGATAAAAATTATTTGGGGCATTAGTTTGTTCCGTATCCCCGCCCAAGTAAAAAAAAATTAAAAAAAACCGAGGAACTCCGTCCACCCGTACACCCACCCCCCCAATTCGAGCACTGCCTACTATATTCATAAACTGCACCTGGACATATATGTACCCAAATTGCCTATTTATAACGCCGCGTTACAATAATTTGTCTACTAATGAAATGTCATAATAATAACTAAATTGTTGAGTGAATAATGATTTTCAAAGTTTCAATACGTTTCAAGCCTTTATCTAGTGGTTTGGCCATTATTGAATGTATACCTATATCTTTGACAATGATGGTTCAGGGCCGATTTCACCAACACAGTTAATCACGGTTAACGCTTAATCGGCTAATAACAGATATTTAACCGGCCAAATTCGGCCGATTAACTCCGCGGTTAACTTTAATCGTGATTAACTGTGTTGGTGAAATCGGCCCTCAATCTACTTATGATAATTAATAGAAGTAAACTTAACTTAAAAAAAAAACAATAACTAAATTATATACTATTTATATAGGTATAATATTTGGTTTCAATGGGTTTTTAATAACTGCTTCATCGGTAAATAAAGAATGATTTTTCCAAAAACTTCGCAAGACCTTTGCCCACATTGATAATTTATTTATTCATCTCAACTAAAATTTATCTAAACAACTCGGAAAAAAATTCGATTTATATGGTTGTAACTTGTTGTACCGATATAAATGTATTTCTTCCATAAAAACGGTTTCATGGAAGGTCAATTTTTGAAATATTGTGACGCTCTCTGGAAGATTTAGTTTAGTATACTTTTCGTAAGAAGTTTCACTTCTCTAACTGTCTAAATGTCCGTTTTATAATAATACTTCTTCGGCGAAGAAGGACTACTTTCAAGGACCAAGTACTCATTCATAGCGCTACAATTTAAGTACAAAAAAAATATGTTATTATACCTATAAATAAATTATAATATTAAAAATATTTTCATTCCTAGTATGCCTACTAGCTTATTGATACGTTTGTATTTCGTTTCGTTGCCAATGAATAACAATAACTTTATTTTATCTAACAAAAAACCCACAATAGACTTTTGCTGGTATAAAATTCAGTAATAATACATAAGTACAAAATTATACTAAAAATCTTCAGTAACAAACACATTTAAATAACACATAATATCCTACCTTAAATTATACGAGAAAAAGCACGAGCTGGAAATTCATAATTTGCTTATCATATTTATATTATGATCAAGCCCGAGTTGGGGACTAATGTCCAACGCATGCGCAAAATCTATGAACCGTGTACAGTTGAACGAAATCTGACGGCAAATAATTCCAATCACAGTGCAACATCTGTTTTCTGTCATGCAACGTTTACATTGACGGTAGGAAAAATTCAAAATAATATTAAAATAAATATATAAATGGTGATCGCTAGGTAGGTGTGGAAATTCATCCACCGAACACCGGTATTTAGTGGTTATAGTGTTTACAATGTTTAGGTATACCTATAGGCAACTACTAACTACTGGATTGTAACCACGGTAATGGGTAATTTCCGGGATACCGAATATACCACTAGCTCTAAAATATACTTGGATAAGCACAATAAGTCTATAAATAATGAACAATTACTGTTAAGCTGTTGTAAATGAGCAATCAATCATAGAAGTTGACATTTTATTTCTGAATATATCTTATCTTTTTCTGTACCCACAAACATAATTTTAATTTATTTCTATAATTAATTTTAATTTAAACACTATAAAAATATGCATAAAAAAAAAACGTGTACGATTCATTTTTCTTGTTTCGAAATATGAAAAAAAAATATTACTTTGAAATTATTAGTAAAAATGCATATAAAATGTCATTGCTGTTGTTTTATCACGACTCAAATTTATGAAAAAAAATGTTTTCTAAAACCGTTAATACTTTATGAGATAATAAGAGTTTATACTTTTATACTTTCTTATTCAAATAATCATCCTGTTTATATGACTACAAATTTTCATAGCCCCACCCCCTTCAAAAAAAAAAAAAAATTAAAACTATTCGAAGGATTGTTTGATTATTAAAAATTAGTACTGCAAAGTCCTCGGAATAATTTCAAATGCCCCATGGTTTGTCAGAAATGTAAATCTACACAAAGACTTTCAAATCCAAGAAATCCAAGATCATATTAAAACATTAGCAAACAATTTCCACTGCTCTCTTTCAAACTCATCAGGAGCAATTCACTATAACCTTCTCACTCACCCAACTCATCGTCGATTAAAACAAGGTCGTCCCCACGACCTCCTACACTAAGCCACCTCTCAATATCCAAATCTTCACTCTACACATGCGCTTCTTCCAGATCATTCTGCGACTTCTCTATACTTATAGTAATACTATTCAACTATTGTAAATATGTAAATATTAGTATGTTATTGTAATCACATTGTTACTTCTGTATATTTTAAAATTACCAATTGTTAATATTATCCTTAGTACTTCTAAATACATTTTTGATTATCACGTTAATCCGTTAAACTTTTATGTAAACTGTCAAATATCCCTAGATATAGATAGCCTTAAGCTAGGAATGTCTTACATTAAAAATAAAAAATAAATGATTACTATTAATAGCATCCTGCAAATTGAATCAAATGTCCACCTATGTTGGTACAGGAAGGTACATATTTTTATTTAAAAATTCAATTTAAATATTTAAATAATTAAAAATTTTGCAGGTGATTATTATAGCGGTAATATTCGGAACTATTATTGAACACAGACGAATGTTGAATATTTACTGGAAAACCGTTTTGAATATTAAACTAGAAATTTTAAACAAAATGGTTAGTTTGATCATACTATAAATCGTTATATTAAATAATAAATAGACAATAGTGAGGTATACGGATAGTATACCCACTGGTTATGGTATTTTATTTCATATTTAATTGAAAGTTATTCCCATGTTTTTGTTTTAATATGATATATACCTATTGTGTATTGCTAGGCCAGTGAAATTAATGCACTATAAAATACTACCTAATTAACCATGCATTAAATATTTTAAAATAAACGAAACTAATTTTTTTAAAAATCTTTATTTATGCAATATCTACTTACTTATAGACTATAGTACTTATAAATGTAAATAACGTTTAATATCATATTTAATAAATATTATTTATACTTATATACCTATACTAACCTATATCAACATATAATTATTTTCATAATATAATTTATTCATGTAAATAAATAATAATGTGTAGGTAATTAAAAAATAAAAAAAATAAATAATTTTTATATTTGTGGTAAGTAACATAAAAAATTGTATGGTATATATTTTTTTTTGTAAAACTGTAAACGAGATTCAACCATTAGGTATATGTGTATGAATTAATTATTATGGACGTCCATGCATATACCATATTTTGTTGTACTTCTAATTCAATAATGATCAGATCAATTAATCTGAGTTATTGCTTCAGATATTTAAAGAGAACACTGTATTATCATTCTTGAAGTATCTAAATAATGGGGAAAAAGCATTTGGTATCATAACTTTCATAAATGTTGCCGTCTACTTAGGCTGGAATGTGACGAAATGGAACTCCACAATGCTTAAATATTTCATAATTAATGAAGGTAAGTAAAATACGTATGTCGTTGATAATAATTTCAAATGACTACTAGATAAATTGATTGTTGGATTACGCATAGAAAAAAAAACGTGTTCATTGCGTTCCAAATGCAGTAGGCAAACACTCTATTTATATTCATTTATTTATTCTTTATTAACAGAAGGAGCAACTTATAACGCTTTAACATTACAATCATAATAATATAATTAATATAATGCACAATTTAAATATATTGAACAATAATGGTAATAAAATAAATATAAAATACAATAATTATACCAATAAAATGTATACTAATAAAGTAATAAGTAATAACCTAACCAAAATCAATGGCTAATTTAAAAAAAATCATATTCTGATCGTAATTCATGATGCATTTTTAATTTTTAGACAAGCCAAATTCAGTTTGTTCACATTTACTTAGTGCATTCAGTCACACTTCATTGTGTAGCTTAACAGCTAATGTTGTATATTTATATTATTTGATGTGTAAAATAAGTAAGTACTTTTTTTAAATAATATTTTACAAAGTGTTTAATAAATATTATAAAACACAATAGGTAGCCAGTGTAAGTATGGTCGTATGGTGAATTGGTACAATTTATTATAAATCATATATTTTAGTATTAATGCTCGTATTGGTACTTTATTCAAATTTTTAAGCAATAAAATAATATGTTATTTGAATAAATACAAATAAGCAATTTTCGCTTTTAATGTATCTCTTAAAAATCATAAAAAAAAACATGAGTCGTTATGAATGCATAAGTTGTTGCCTGGCGTAGTGTCATCTACAATTTATATATTTTTGAATATAAGGACATAACAGATCTAATATATTGTGTCGATACCTGAATGTAAAAATATTATAATTATATTTATATAAATATGATTGTTTATAGTACATGAATTTGTCAGTAAAATTATGGAAAATAAATATTATTGCTATTCGTGGAAAATGTACCAATATAAACATAACGTAAACAACAATAATAATAAAAATAATATTATCCAAGCTGTGAGAAAAAGTCTGTTATTACAGAGTTACGTTTTAAATTATATGTATATGTATATTATAGGATTTGTACAAGGGTGGCCGATATCCACATTTTCACCTTATATGGGAATTGAAGAATTTTTTGTTATGTACATAAGTGGGTGCTTGTTTTCTTCTTTGTCTAAAATTTACATTGAACAAAAACTAAACGTGTCCAGCAGTAAACACGGAGCTGTAAGTCATCATTGATTGATATTTGATATAAAATCTAATATTTTGTCAGAAACGTTTAAAACACATTTGTTTTTTGGTTTAACAAAATGTTTTTGGTTTTTAATATTTACCTCGTGCTTTTTTTCTTGGAAGTCTGGAGCAATATCTGCAGTGTTTGGATACGTTGCATTAGGCTTCCCAAACCGCAAATTATTAACGATATCAATATTTGTCCGAGATGAACTAAGTGTTAGTGTCACAGCATTCGAAGTAAAAATAATGGTTTATTTAACACAATTATTAATAAATAATGTAATGCAATCGATATTATAACTATCAGGCTTTGCTGTGTCTGTTTCTTCTGATTATATTGATTGTTTTTGTACTGAAGTTCTCGTGGATCAACTCAATAAGCATAATTTCTGGATGTATTTTTGGAATGTAAGTACCTGTAACAGTCACTATCACTATATTTAAATTTAAATGAATCTTTAAAAGATTTCCTAATGTATTTATTTGCTATCCTCATAAAATTAAATACAACTCATTCTACATCAATTTATTGTAAGTTGTAGTTTCACATTGTAACTTAAGCGATGAAAATCGTAATAATTCTCACACTCACAGTTTTGTATGGTTTTAATTTTTGTATTAATGTCAGCTTACACGCTTATAGTGAAACACCTTGTATTGGTATGTTATTGGTACATTGGTAACTATACCTTTTACATAACCACTTCTTTTACTGTTTTTATGCTTAAAACAGGCATCCTATTATAATACTCATTGGCTTTAACTTAAAGTGTATATTTTTTTAATCTTAATACAGATTTTGGTACAAATTAGGATCGAAAATCATTTGGGGCAACAGAACTTACCTAACGAATGTTCTTGCAAACAGTTTCCTACACGTGAAAGCTTACATAATAAATATATTGTACGCAGGTACCTAACATAATATTATTGTAACAGAAATGAAAACCCAAAGAAAGTAAACTTGTATAAGTCAAATTTGTGACATTAAAATACCTACTAATGTACTTTTAAAATATATGTTTAAGGTGGTACATTATTCAATACTATGTCTAAGCAAAATTGTAATATTGAACTTGTGTTCTCCAAGTTTTTGGGGATAAAATGTGATGTCAACATGAAAATAATTAGTTTTTATTGTTCACCAATTTTAAGTGATGATCTAACCAAAAAAGTGGTTTTCATTCAGGAAACTCGGGTTTGATGCCCGGTACCTAAAAACATTTCAACCTAATCTAACTATAACTTTACATTAACAACATGATAAAAATAAAACTTCAGTTATATCTAAATCATCATCATACTAATCGGTACTAATTTTTTGAACAAGTATAAATTGTTCGTTCTTTTATTATCCATCTCCTTGTCTACTTATTTTTACAAACAAATATCAATTAATTTTTTTTACAAACTTGAAAGTAAAATGTATACCTATTATTTATTAAATTATTTTGTACTTTATACTTTAAAGAATCAACTTAATCAAGAATTATAACCCTTCATTAAAATTATGGATATTTTTAAGTCACATTGATGGTTTAAATTAATTGTAATTATTAATTGCATTGCATTTTATGAATAAGTAAATAAGTAGTAGGTACTGTCACTAGAAATATTATACATAAATTAACAAATCCCGAAAAATAAATGATCCATAAGATCAAACATTTCTTCAGGAACTTGTTTTTGAAAGTTATAACACAATTCTTTTAAAGATGCTTTTAGAACAAGCGTTCTAAAAAAAAAAAATGGTGAAACCAATAAAAAAAATCAATTTTAGCCGTATGAAAAAAAATTATGTAAGAAAAAAGCTTTTGCTTATCTACTCCATTGTTAAAATTGAATGATAAATAAACAGAGTTAGGTAATTAGATTAGATTAGAATATATAGCTCAAAAAAGCCGAACCACTCCGGAATGATACCGTATATTATACTATGTACAAAATACTAAAATAAATATTTGTCCACAGTTATTAGTTTTTGAGTTAAGCAAATTACCTTTTTTTCGCTTTTTTTATTTTTCAAAAACTACTTTTAATTTTAAAAGTTGAAAAAAATGTTAAATAACAAATTAGTTTATTGACTAGAATAAAATTATCATAACTATACCTATCGTAGGTATTTCGTTTGAAAATATTGCACTTGTATAGGTAGCTGTTTATTTACAAAACATTGTTCAAAGTAGATATTTGATATTTAATATTGTTACTTTCTTCTTACACTAAATAATATATTATCTTCAAATAATGAATTGTAAAATTAATTTTTATCTTCCAACTAAAAGATAGGGAGGATCATTTAAAATTCTTGGATCAATATCCTAGTGATGTGTTATGTTACTTCGTTTTTATGTAACTCACAACTATACAATTGTACTTTTTTTATGATTTATGAATAGGTATGGTTTCATATTTAATACAAGTATAATAACAATAAAAGGCAATGTCATTATATTATATCGTATTCTAATAAGGGAAAGAATGACGATACCCAAATATTATACCGTTTAATTATCTTTCTTTATTTTTTGTTCAATTTAAACAGAATTTGAATGACTAAGTAAGCAAATGCTTTGTTTGCTAACATAAGTAATTGTCTTGGATCAATCTCGTATATTCCATACAACACAAAATGGTAGTGTTCATAATATCTTCGTAGGATAAAAAACTTGATCTAAACAGTAACACAAATAATTATTCTATACACCTAATTAACATATAATTAATTTAATATTATTGTATTATTACTAAAATAGTAATTTGAATAAACCTGTAGTTTTATTCTAGGGTTTCTCTCAATTACAGAACGCTGATGTAAAACAACACTCATCCAATTTATCTGAAAACCAAAAAAAAAAAATTGAAAAAAAAAAATAATAAAGTAAACACCGTGTTAATATACGAAAAACGAATACTATATTTGTTTATTTTTTTAATTTTAATGATTGATTGTTAGAAAATTATGTTTGGAGATTATATGTGTATTATATTATATATTATTAGTTTAAATAATATTGATATAATGAGTTGTGCCTCTCTTATACACAATTAAAATGACAAATCTGAAGTGCAGAACTATAAACCCATCTCTATATTATCCCTTCTAGCAAAACTATTCGAATCACTTGTCCTCCGGAGTATTCAGCCCCAACTCTCAACTCCATACGGATTGACGAATAATATGGCTTCAGACCAGGCCACTCCACAACGGTTAACTTATTATTTTTAACAATTACATCTTTGCGGCCTTTGAAAACAACTTCCAGGTAGATTCGATATATACTGACTTGACCAAGGCCTTTGATCATGTGGACCACTCACCCCTTGTACAAGTTCTTTACAAATCTAGCTTTGGAGATACTTTCTTATCTTGGATCTGGTCACACTTAGCAGGCAGAACACAGTGGATCAAGACCAATGGTCATAAATCAATAGCTACTGTAGTTCCATCTGGTGTCCCACAAGGTGGCCATTTATCACCACTACTATTTACCTTATTTTTATATGGCTCAAAAAAAACTCTACGTAACTGACAGTTCTTTGTTTTCGCCGACGACCTTAAGCTTTTCCTGAAAAGAAAATCCATAGAAGATGGACCTACTCTAATCAAATTTAGACATTGTTGTTTATTACTCTTGCTCAGTACATCATTGATTCTAAATATGGAGAAATGTCAAACAATGTCGTTCACTAGATGCCGGTATAGTCGGTCTACTATTCATTTTCAATACAAAATCTGTGATTCTAACATTGAGTCAATCAAATGAATGAAAGGTCTGGGTATTATTATAATAAATAATTATAATATTACAATATACAATTACAATATTAATAATATAATATTATTAATATTGTTATTGGTATTTAGTATTTATATACTACTATGTTAACGTATTATTATTCTCTATTTTCATGTTAAATTATAATTGGGCTCCCCCAGCTATGTTTGAACGGGCAAATGTAAATTCCCCTAAAAAATGAAATAGTAAATTCCCCTAAAAATATTTTGTTACCGCATTACACTTATGTAAACTCCCCTAAAAACATTTTGCTACCTACCGTATTACGTTTGTTAATTCTCCCGAAAGAGGTAATAAAGATAGACTGTTGTCAACTTTTTATTTATTATTATTATTTTTTTTTTTAATTAAATAAACTATCCGCAGCATCAAAGGCGTATTACATTTTATTTTATTTACATTTATACATTACATACACTCGTATATAGATATGATTATACATATAATAACGTTTTGAGATATAACAAAAAGTGAACAGAGAAAAAGAAAAATAATGACAGAATAAGAGTGAGTTAACGTATAAGTAATTTATTATTATGGCAAACTAATTTTTATATTCATAGATACATTAAAAAATATTCAAACAGAAATTTACATAAAATTACAAAGTATTCATAAAACAAATAACTCTCATAGTAATAAATTAAAGAGACGACAACAATTTTTAAACCAGTTAATAGAAAATTATAAGGAACACAAAATTACTACATTCCATTATATAAAAACAGATTAACACTATTACTCAATTAAAAAATAATAATGGTTTTAATAAACCTAGACATCTAGTATGACAATGAAAAATAATTTTTCAAAATAAATTTGAATAAAATAATATAAATGCGATACAAAATACAAATATTTTTGGAGGATAAATAGAACAGCCTCCACATGGTGTCCCCTGGGTTACGCTAAATGGTGCTAGTAAAATATTTTTAGGGGAGTTTACATAAGTGTAATACGGTAGCAAAATGTTTTTAGGGGAATTTACAACATTTTAGGGGAGTTTACATGTGCCCGTTTGAACAAAATAAATAATAAATATTGAGTAACCAATAGTCTTCGACTACTTAGTTGAATAATAATTACGGTTTGAGATTTTTATTTTTTTTAAATAGAGTTTCAATAAAATAATAATATATCATAGTAACCTCTTTTACTGTAGCTTGACCAATTCCATATAAAAGTATAATATTGACTGCCCTTATAATTATTGTTAGGATGTCCAAAATTATTGTATGTTTAATGCCTTCAGTTGTACTATTTTTGGTAAATAAAAATTTATAGAACAATATAAAAATGTGTAGACCAAAATTCGCTGCAATAAAACTCACTATAGCTGGCAAACCGTATATTGTTCTATTTATATCGTTCAAGCATTCTATTACTTCCAAATACAAGTCCCTGAATGTACATATGGTGGATTTATTTTTTGGAATTTGTTCATTTATTGTGTACACCATCCACTTAATGTATATTATAAGTAGTATATATTCATAAAACACAACACATCCATATATACTTGAAACCACTCCGATGACCTAAAAAAATATTTAAACGCGTGAAGTGAATTTTTCTTGAATATAAATGTGTTAAAATTAAAGTATTAACTATTATACAATCATTCCAACCCTCGGGTTGTTAAAAAAATTATAGATATAATATGTATAATATCAAGAATACAAGAGGATACCGAGAAATAAAAACGTACTATTTACTTTTTGACTTTTGTCATGTTTAAATAGGTACATCAAATGTTTTTATAAATAGGTAAATAGGTAAATAGGTAAATAGGTAAATAGGTAAATGTTAAATTTATTTCACATATTGATATGATTACCGAACGTATAAGTATGTTTTTGAATCTGATATCAATTACAACAAAGTTGAACGAGTACGAATTATATGTTATAAAATGGAAGAAAATTCCAAAAATGTAAATCCATTTCAATTTTATTGTCATCGGCCTGATCACATCCAGGCGCATCAATTTGTAGTGAATTTTTCAAGTTTAGTCAATACCAAGGATAGTTGATTATCGAGAAATAGTCGACACACAGTGGATACGATGTTCCCAATGAATATCATCTCAAAAAAAATCATCATTACAATCGACGTAACATTAAACATATCTGGATCAGCTAGTTTGGCCCAAAAAAATATAAAATAAAATATGATTTCTTTTAACTACAAATGTTTTATCGGAAAATAAGACACCTATGGGAACACAATTGCGCCCTTACACAATTAAGAATTTCTGAGGGGGGAAGCCCACCCAAGCCCCACTAGTTATGGCTGTGACTATTGTACAGATACGTATATAGTAATAGTACATAATACGTTACATATTCAGAATTTCAGACAGGTAAAATATGCCGAATTATAAGAAAAATTATTAAATAAATATAGGTGGATTTTTTAACCATAATTAAGTGACCATTATACATTTTAGTGAACCATTGAATTAATTATTTTTCTTTGCAACTGTAGTCGGGTCGATTGCAAATTTTAATATTATTAATTATACTGCTTGTGTACATCCAAATATATTTACATTTGTTGTTTAGGACAACGTGCAGGGTCCCTTAACATAAGCTATATTTTTTCAGCCAAAACCTTTTATATATTTTAAGTGATTATAGGGATGATGTAATATGAACTATCCAATGAAACAATATAAATCAGATTCAGTTCAATTCAATTATATATTTTTTGGTTTTTTACCCAAAAACTGTTTGCATCGTAAAATGTTCAACAACAACAACAACAAATTATTGAACTTCGTAAGACGTATAACATCATCGTTGTCTTTATCTTGCTCTATAATTGTAGTTTATACTACCTGCACCGAGAATCAAAAAACACCAGTTAACAATATTTAATACTGATCGTACGGTCATAATGATTGCATAAATTGTTTTATAATCACAAATTTAATAAGTACAAAACATATTTTAGAAATATAATAGTGTTTCAGATTTTCTCGTGTTTGGGCGATTGTAATAATCTTATAACCGAATGGAAACTACTTTAATAACTGTTTACCTACCCAGTACCCATTTACAAAAATTGATTTTAGTAATTTTTGTTGCAATTATAATAATGTATATAAAGAGTATAAGAAAAATCGTTGAAGTGGAGACTATATAAATTGTAGTAGATAGATTGTGTTTAATTGCTTAACATTCACTAGACCATACTGAGTGTGATATATTTGAAAGTAGATAGGTAAGTACCTACGTTTATTTAATCATATTATGTGTACACGTTTATTATAATAAATATGATATATTTCACATAAAGGGTGATTCACCAAGCATGCTCACCCCACCTCTTTTCTCAATAATGTACTTATTCAATTGCTTGAGATTTTTTGTCCCGCTGAAGGAGTGTCCTGTGGAGATACAAACTTCTGTTCCAAAATTCATTATTAAAAAATAAAATAGAGGTGAGCATGCTTGGTGAATCACCCTGTATAAATTTCACATAATAATTTCCATTCTAAAAATCCACTTTAACGTCTTTTCCAAAATGCTAATAAAGGTACATAATTACTTAAGGTACATTATTGCTTGTAGCCTAAGTAAATTATTGCTATTATGATTTGTTTATCTTTGAGTATCGACTTTATAACTGTCTAGAATTTTTAATGTTATTAATATCAACAATATAATATATTAATTATTATTAATAATCATAATATTTATAATTTAATAAATTATAAGTCAGTACCCATGCTAGTTTAAAATATATCACGCTCAGTGCAATATAATAAAGACTAAACAAACAAAAACCACCTATCACAGGGTTAATGTAATCCACTTCAACGATTTGTCCTAAATCCTTATATATACACTTAGAAAATATAATTGCATTCCGTTAAAATTATTCTCATCGTCAAAACGAGAAATTATTAATTTAAACACGATAATCTTTTTACTATTAGCGTTTAATTTTGNCGGTCCATAATTGAAAGAAATCCTAGAATAAAACGTCAGGTATAATTTATTGTATTTATTATTATAGACGAAAGTATTAAGTTTCTAACTAAACTTACACTACTAAATAATTTATTTACATGGAATAATTATTTTTTTTACTATTTAGATCAAATTTTTTATTCTACGAAGACATCACGAGGACTCGCATTTTGTGTTGTTTGGTATATGTGAGATTAATCTAAAACAATTACTTGTCTTAGCAAACAAAGCAATTGCTTACTTTGTTATTCAAATTCTATTCAAATTGAATAAATAAAAAAGTATCAATTAAATTTTATATTCAGTTATCAGTCATTGTTTCTATTTTCTAGAGAACTTAATATATAATATATGTATAGACGTATAGTTAGATAGTAAATATTATTTTCAATATTTTTCTTGTCAACATAATTGCGTAATACTTTCCTCTATCCCAAAGTCAACGTATAAATATGTATGAATGTATATTGGTAAGTATTGTAAAAAATGTGATGACTTTTGTGTAATTTATTATAGTTAATAAAATCAAATATTGAACATTAAAATTTCGTAATAAATATTTGTTATGCATTTAAGACCTTGCAAAAGCATTTAATACAAGTGATAAAAAAGTGCTTATAACTAACTACTAATAGTATGTATATTAAATATTATAATTTTTTATATATACTTTATTTTGATATTTTATACACAAACAATCAAATTAAAGGAGAATTTTTGTGTAATAATAAAAACATTTACACACGACTCGCCGGTCAGTGTAAAATAATGAGTGCTAAACAAATAAACACTAAGTATCAGGTCTGTAATCCACTTCAACTATATTTGCTCAAAATGGAAATATTCATTAAAGTAATAGTTCAGCAAATGATTTATATTATCTTTTATACCGACTTCTTAGTATTTTTAATAGTAATAAAATTAATTACTTTATCAACAATATAAAATATTTATTATTGTAATAATATAATCAATTATAAGTAGGTATCCATCTACTTCAAAATATAACACACATAATATAATATAACAAGTGCCAAACCAATAAACTCCTATACAGCCGTTTTTGTAATCACTTATCATATATTTTTGGTTTATACACATTCAAACAATATAATTTCATTCGGTTAAAATTATTCTCTTAAAACAAGAAAGATAATCTTTTACTATTAGCGTTTAATTTTGTACCTAATAAATGTATAAATAAAAAAGAATTCAAGCAATTATTATGAGCGTAAGATCAGTATTAAACACTTTTAATCGGTGTTTTCTGATCTGCGGAGTAGGTAGTATAAACTACAATCAGAGTAAGATAATGACGACGATGATATTATACATCTGGCGATGTACACTAATTTGCTGTGGATTAAATACAATTTACTTCGCGAACCATTGGGTAATAATGAACATATCATATGATTTAATTTTATTTAAATAATGTCATACCGTACTATATACTATAACGGGCATAGACCAGTTGACACTTGACAAAATGTGTATTATAGGTCTAGTATACCAATTGCGCTCAAGGGCGATTTTAAGGGGGGAATGACACCCCCCGAATGTCGACAACTGTAAGTACTAGTCCGCAATTTTCAGAATTAGCTAAATGTAATATACAATGAGATCATTGAAACTTCCATATTATTAATAAGTAAAAGGTAAAACTAATACACATTAAGTATGAAGTAACAACATATATATTATATATATAGTTTACTCGTAATAAATATGCTACGTTATTTTCGGCAGACGGACAATAAAAGATTAAGTTTTCAGAATTGATTGATGACGGTTTCTTGATTTAGACTTGATTAAATTCATTGTAGAAAATGCCGATTCACAAATATATATACTGCCAAATAATGACAACATTTCAAGAGAAAAATTCCGTAATGTTGGGTATTTTTCTTGCGAACACAGTTTCCAAAATTCTTCAGGAGGCAAATTTACTTTTGATTGAAGAAAACAGTCTGCTTGTAAATCACATAACTCTATTTGAAAATCGGGAGGTTGTACTGAGATATCAACTGTCATTGGGTTGCTACTAAATAATTCAAATTTAGGTTTCAATATATAAAAATCTTTAAATCGTGAATTAAATTCCGTAATTAGTTCTGTAATTATATTTTTTAATTCAATAAAGCATACCGATTGATTTTCAATTTTTTTAATTTCTTGACATGATGGAAAATATATAGTATCATTGTTTTCTAATGCGTTTTTAAATACTTCTAATTTTTTCCGAAAACCTTCAATAATATTACTAAAAAGCTGACATATATTTTGTCCTCTACCTTGCAGTTTTAAATTTAAAATATTTAAATGAGATGTCAAATCAGTGAGAAAAGCAAGAGATTTCATGAATGAAATACTTTTTAAGTCTTCATAAAACTGTTGTCCAATATTTTTAGATTTAAGAAAATCAAAAACTTCACTTCTCAATGCAAAAAAAGATTTCGAACAATTCCCTGCACTCGGCCATCTTACTTCACAGTGTAACGGTATATCACCATACTCACTCTCCATTTCTTCTAAGAATTTAATAAATGCCCTCTTTGATCCTTGTTACCACCTCGAATAAAATTAACAATGCTTATCACTTTTTTCATAGTTTCGTTTATTTTAACAAACTTGCCACAAAGGGTTTCCTGGTGAATAATACAATGAATAAGTAAACATTTAAGCCCTATTTGCCTTAAATTTCCTACTAAACCAGTATGTATCCCAACCATAGCTTGAGCACCATCAGTGATTATGCCAGTGCAATTGTCAAATGAACCAAAATCTGAAATAACTTTTTTCAATGTTTTAAAAATATCTATACTTCTAGTTCCAGTAATTAATGATTTTATTTGAAGTAATTCTTCATGTATATTAAAATCTTTATCAATTGTTCGAATAAAAATGATTAACTGACTGTTATCGGAAATATCATTATTTTCGTCTAATGCTAAAGAATAGTACCACAGAACAAACAGAAGGGAATCTTAAGGCTCATCGAAAAACCGTCCGACATTTCTGAATTTTAAACGTGCTGCCACATACCGAGAAATTCCCTTTTTTTAAAGTTTTATGTGGTTTGTGGCTACGCTGTTAGTCGGCAATTCCACTCATAACAACAACAACACATGTCCAACCATAGATAACATAGATTATAGTCGAGTCGTGTACTCCGAAGTCGAGTCGTGTACTCCGATAAGCACGGACGTACACCGCAGCAGGTCGCTCCGTATCGCAGCCGACTCTGTTCCCGTGTGAGCTCGTGTGATCCAGACACGCCCACCAGCCAATCAGACGAGCCACGCGCCCGCAGAAGCTTATTACGTCCAACAAAGCTACCGACAACGATCACGTGCAGATAAGCCACGCCCACCGGCTAACCGCAGCTAGTCACGTGCGCCTAGACACGCCCACGACCAACCGCAACTGGTCCTGTGAGCTAGGCCTGCCCAACAGCCTACCGCAGCGTTTCCCTGCCGCACAAGCGCAGAAACGTCTCTGCAGGACCTACTTAACCCACTGCGCTGCGCTCTAAACGCCAGTTTCACAGCAACCCGGACCGGAGCAGCAACTAACTGGAAGAGAAGCCAACTACCACACCAGACACCCGGGGCTTGGCCCCTGGTAACAACATGCCAGACCAAAGAAGCCCGATGGACCAGACCCACCAGTNAATATAATTGCATTCCGTTAAAATTATTCTCATCGTCAAAACGAGAAATTATTAATTTAAACACGATAATCTTTTTACTATTAGCGTTTAATTTTTTACCTAATAAATTTATAAATAAAAAAGAATTCAAACAATTATTATGAGCGTAAAATCAGTGTTAAAAACTTTTAATAGGTGTTTTTTTATCTGGGGTTTAGGTAGTATAAACTACAATCAGAGCAAGATAATGACGACGATGATGTTATACATCTGGCGATGTACAACAATTTGCTGTGGGTTAAAAGCAATTTACGACGCACATTATTGGGTACACAATATAATATTTAATTTAATTAACATTGTTTCATACCATATTACAAATTAGTGATTGAAGCGTTCACACAAATATTTAACATTTTTCATTTTCTTATCGAGTTACAATTATTATCCTTATAATATAAATATCATGTTACCTATTGTTATATCTATTATTTTTTAGGTACACTAAATTTCATAAATTCCCATATTTTTGGACTACACGGTGAAGTACAAAAAAATATTAATATATTAAGATACAATAGTTTAATACTTAGTTAACTTTATACGATTTGTCAAAGTTATCGATGATGACAACGAAGGCCTAATAATAACAAGTTTTTGTAATTTACAATAATATGTACCATTGTATTTAATAAGTTTTCATTTTCCCAAAATGTTTAAACGCCCATTTATATATTTATATTATATCAATAAAAAAAAATTTGATGGAACAATATGGCCTAGGAAATCATGTTTATGGTACCATTAACTCACTCACTATATTAATTCTTTAAATGTTTAGCGATTGCTTCTGGCTTGTATAATCTATTTGAATATGTATCGTATTACATAATATTTTGCACTATATTATAATAATAAAAATATAAAATAATATAATATTTTTACAGATCGTACATATTGATCCAAACTTATTTGACATTACATCGTTAGTCATGATCTGTTGTTATGAGTTGATGTACATTGGCCGATTCTTATCCAATCTATGGCGACTATTTTATGATAATAAACTATCTGTGATATTGATTAAACTTGAAGGAATTCATTATAAATTGATACGTCTGAAAGCTGTCAGGCCGATGAAAATCAAAACGCATTGGCTTTTCAACTTTGGTGTTCTTGTCCATTTTATAATTTATAATATGAATACAATCAGCTGGATTGTAGTTAAATCCGGACGCACACGGGAGAAGACTGTAGACTTTTATATATCTATGGTGAATGTTAATCATCCACATCTAAAAATATTTTAATAATAATTATATGCATAGCAAAAAGTAAATTATATACGTTCTTCATTTCTCGATATTCCTGTGACCCTGCAGTCTTAACTATAGTTTTTAAACACATTAAATTAAAATTCGATAGTATTATTAAAATTTTTTTTTTTAGATCTCTGTGCTGATTTCACATATTTGTGAATGCGTTGCGTTTTATGAATACATGCTACTTATATCATACATAAAGTGGATTGTGTACATTATAAATGAACAAATTCCGAAAAATATATCAACCATAAGTACTTTCAGGGATTTCTATTTGGAAGCAATAGAATGTTTAAATGATATAAATCGATCAATATATGGCTTGCCTGTCATAATAAGCTGTATTGCAGCAAATGTGGGTGCTATAATTTTTTTATTATTCTACAGATTTCTATTTACTGAAGACGACACTGTAGATGTTGCCCGTGTAATTATGGAAGCTGATACAATAATTATAAAAATGATCAATATCATACTCTTATATGGAATTGGTCACGCCACAGCAAAAGAGGTTTTTATGATAAAATACTCTATATTAACACTCTATATTATACAACTCTTGTTTATTAAGTCCACAATATTAACATAATACTTGAAGACTATATTAACACTAATAATGCTTACATCATAATATGCACCCACCTTCATCCCTCCCAAACCTTCATTATAAAAAGGCCCAGTAAACTGGATCAAATTCATGTCAAACCTTGAAAACAATACAAATTTAAAAATCTCACTGAAAACCACAGATGAAATAGAAAATGCAACACAGAACTTTGTTACCTCAATACAAGCCGCTGTCTTGAACTTTTCCTATACACTAAATCAAAATCACCCAGTTAAAAGAAATCCTTACGAACTGTCTCCCTATACAAAAACACTAATTGCCGAGAAACGTAGATTCCGTTATTTCCGTAGATTCGTCCAATACAATTAAAAAACAAATCAAAATCTACAAATCTGACTCCTTCAAGTCAAAATATCAAACCCTAAATATTATACACGATGGATCCTTGTGGAAAGCCACTAAAAATTTAATGAAAATTAAAAATCATCCTTATCCCCTGAAAGGAGAAGATAGTTCATTAGCTACATCTGACGATGAAAAAGCAAATATTTTCGGTACCCACCTTTCAAATATTTTTACACCACATTCGAATATATCTCCTGAACAAAGCAATCTTAACGAAGTTCTAAATTTTTTAGACAGCCCACTACCAATGTCACTTCCCATGAAACACACATCACCTAGCGAAATAAAATACTTCATACTCAAACTAAAAGATAAAAAGTCACCCGGTTACGACTTAATCACCAATAAAATGCTAAAATTACTCCCAAAAAATCCATAATACTCCTTACCTACTTATACAACTCAATGCTAAGATTATCTTATTTTAAGCTAATTTGGAAGTTCTTAACAATAATCCACATACATAAGCCGAACAAACCAAAAAATGAGGCTTCTTCATAACGACCTATTAGTCTATTACCGGTATTGGACAAACTATTCGAAAAAATTTTGCTCCGAAGAATCAGATCCATCACCCAAACTCAAAACATAATTCCCGATAGTCAATTCGGATTTAGATCCAAGCATTCTACCACCCAACAAATCCATAGGATTATAGACAAGATATCTACCTCGTTCGAAAAAAAAAAATATTGTCCTGGAGTTTTCCTCGACGTTTCCCAAGCGTTCGATAGAGTATGGTATCAAGGCCTACTTTTTGAAATAAAAATTTCTACCAGCACCACTTTACTTAATAATAAAATCATACCTCTCAAATCGCACGTTTGTCGTCAGGCAAGGTAACACATTTTCTCCCTATTTTATAATTCAAGCAGGAGTTCCCCAAGAAAGTAATCTGTCTAATGTCCTTTACAGCATATTCACCGCAGACATATCAAATGCTGATAATATTCTAATCGCCACACACACTGACGACCCAGCAATATTAAGTGAACATAACGACAACACTGTAGCATCCTCCAATCTCCAATCACATCTTATCAAAATAGATAAATGGGCATCAAATTGGAAAATCAAAATTAATGCTGAAAAGTCCTTCCATGTCCCTTTCACCTTAAGAAAAGAAATCTCACATAAATCTCTACCTGTCCTTTATTTTGGGGGCATAGAAATTTCAATTGAAACCCAAACCAAGTATTTGGGCCTGATCCTTGAAAAACGTCTCACCTGGGGCCCACATTTAAAATCAACAAGAAAAAAACTCAACAGCAGACTACACCTCCTCCGTCCTATTCTTAAATCAAATCTTTCCCTCAACAACAAACTTATTATTTATAAGTCAATGTTAAGACCCATTTGGGCCTATGGAGTACAGATATGGGGTTGTGCCAAAGCATCCCAAATAAAAACAATTGAGGCCTTTCAATCAATTACCCTCCGTTTATTAACCTCTGCACCTAGGTACGTCTCCAACAACTCACTAATAAATGATCTTAACATTGAAACTATAAACAAAGTTGCATCCCATCACTATAATAAATTCCACTCAAAACTAGCCTCTCATACCTACCCACTTATTGCCATTCAAGGCAGAGTAAACTTGCCTGGAAATCCTCCTCGTCGGTTAAAAAGACTCAAGTGCAGGGATTTATTTAATCCCTAACCTAAATATTCCTCTTGAGGGTACTGTTACTGGACAGCCTCCCTCCTCATACTATTCATGTGATGTTAATATTATTCTATTATCCAATTTGCTTATTGTTTCTATGCTATAGATTGTAAATTGTTATATTTTAATAATAAAAAAAAAAAAATCATAAAATGTCAATAATATAATTATATAACAGCTAAATTTTTAACATATAAATTAAAAATAATTATACAGCGAATGTTTCAAATTTAAAAGTAAAATAATGTTATAATATATACTACTTACCTATGTATTCCTTATTTATTGCTTTTTAGATAAATCGAATGAGTCTAGTTTTACATCAACGGTCCATAATTGAAAGAAATCCTAGAATAAAACGTCAGGTATAATTTATTGTATTTATTATTATAGACGAAAGTATTAAGTTTCTAACTAAACTTACACTACTAAATAATTTATTTACATGGAATAATTATTTTTTTTACTATTTAGATCAAATTTTTTATTCTACGAAGACATCACGAGGACTCGCATTTTGTGTTGTTTGGTATATGTGAGATTAATCTAAAACAATTACTTGTCTTAGCAAACAAAGCAATTGCTTACTTTGTTATTCAAATTCTATTCAAATTGAATAAATAAAAAAGTATCAATTAAATTTTATATTCAGTTATCAGTCATTGTTTCTATTTTCTAGAGAACTTAATATATAATATATGTATAGACGTATAGTTAGATAGTAAATATTATTTTCAATATTTTTCTTGTCAACATAATTGCGTAATACTTTCCTCTATCCCAAAGTCAACGTATAAATATGTATGAATGTATATTGGTAAGTATTGTAAAAAATGTGATGACTTTTGTGTAATTTATTATAGTTAATAAAATCAAATATTGAACATTAAAATTTCGTAATAAATATTTGTTATGCATTTAAGACCTTGCAAAAGCATTTAATACAAGTGATAAAAAAGTGCTTATAACTAACTACTAATAGTATGTATATTAAATATTATAATTTTTTATATATACTTTATTTTGATATTTTATACACAAACAATCAAATTAAAGGAGAATTTTTGTGTAATAATAAAAACATTTACACACGACTCGCCGGTCAGTGTAAAATAATGAGTGCTAAACAAATAAACACTAAGTATCAGGTCTGTAATCCACTTCAACTATATTTGCTCAAAATGGAAATATTCATTAAAGTAATAGTTCAGCAAATGATTTATATTATCTTTTATACCGACTTCTTAGTATTTTTAATAGTAATAAAATTAATTACTTTATCAACAATATAAAATATTTATTATTGTAATAATATAATCAATTATAAGTAGGTATCCATCTACTTCAAAATATAACACACATAATATAATATAACAAGTGCCAAACCAATAAACTCCTATACAGCCGTTTTTGTAATCACTTATCATATATTTTTGGTTTATACACATTCAAACAATATAATTTCATTCGGTTAAAATTATTCTCTTAAAACAAGAAAGATAATCTTTTACTATTAGCGTTTAATTTTGTACCTAATAAATGTATAAATAAAAAAGAATTCAAGCAATTATTATGAGCGTAAGATCAGTATTAAACACTTTTAATCGGTGTTTTCTGATCTGCGGAGTAGGTAGTATAAACTACAATCAGAGTAAGATAATGACGACGATGATATTATACATCTGGCGATGTACACTAATTTGCTGTGGATTAAATACAATTTACTTCGCGAACCATTGGGTAATAATGAACATATCATATGATTTAATTTTATTTAAATAATGTCATACCGTACTATATACTATAACGGGCATAGACCAGTTGACACTTGACAAAATGTGTATTATAGGTCTAGTATACCAATTGCGCTCAAGGGCGATTTTAAGGGGGGTATGACACCCCCCGAATGTCGACAACTGTAAGTACTAGTCCGCAATTTTCAGAATTAGCTAAATGTAATATACAATGAGATCATTGAAACTTCCATATTATTAATAAGTAAAAGGTAAAACTAATACACATTAAGTATGAAGTAACAACATATATATTATATATATAGTTTACTCGTAATAAATATGCTACGTTATTTTCGGCAGACGGACAATAAAAGATTAAGTTTTCAGAATTGATTGATGACGGTTTCTTGATTTAGACTTGATTAAATTCATTGTAGAAAATGCCGATTCACAAATATATATACTGCCAAATAATGACAACATTTCAAGAGAAAAATTCCGTAATGTTGGGTATTTTTCTTGCGAACACAGTTTCCAAAATTCTTCAGGAGGCAAATTTACTTTTGATTGAAGAAAACAGTCTGCTTGTAAATCACATAACTCTATTTGAAAATCGGGAGGTTGTACTGAGATATCAACTGTCATTGGGTTGCTACTAAATAATTCAAATTTAGGTTTCAATATATAAAAATCTTTAAATCGTGAATTAAATTCCGTAATTAGTTCTGTAATTATATTTTTTAATTCAATAAAGCATACCGATTGATTTTCAATTTTTTTAATTTCTTGACATGATGGAAAATATATAGTATCATTGTTTTCTAATGCGTTTTTAAATACTTCTAATTTTTTCCGAAAACCTTCAATAATATTACTAAAAAGCTGACATATATTTTGTCCTCTACCTTGCAGTTTTCAATTTAAAATATTTAAATGAGATGTCAAATCAGTGAGAAAAGCAAGAGATTTCATGAATGAAATACTTTTTAAGTCTTCATAAAACTGTTGTCCAATATTTTTAGATTTAAGAAAATCAAAAACTTCACTTCTCAATGCAAAAAAAGATTTCGAACAATTCCCTGCACTCGGCCATCTTACTTCACAGTGTAACGGTATATCACCATACTCACTCTCCATTTCTTCTAAGAATTTAATAAATGCCCTCTTTGATCCTTGTTACCACCTCGAATAAAATTAACAATGCTTATCACTTTTTTCATAGTTTCGTTTATTTTAACAAACTTGCCACAAAGGGTTTCCTGGTGAATAATACAATGAATAAGTAAACATTTAAGCCCTATTTGCCTTAAATTTCCTACTAAACCAGTATGTATCCCAACCATAGCTTGAGCACCATCAGTGATTATGCCAGTGCAATTGTCAAATGAACCAAAATCTGAAATAACTTTTTTCAATGTTTTAAAAATATCTATACTTCTAGTTCCAGTAATTAATGATTTTATTTGAAGTAATTCTTCATGTATATTAAAATCTTTATCAATTGTTCGAATAAAAATGATTAACTGACTGTTATCGGAAATATCATTATTTTCGTCTAATGCTAAAGAATAGTACCACAGAACAAACAGAAGGGAATCTTAAGGCTCATCGAAAAACCGTCCGACATTTCTGAATTTTAAACGTGCTGCCACATACCGAGAAATTCCCTTTTTTTAAAGTTTTTTGTGGTTTGTGGCTACGCTGTTAGTCGGCAATTCCACTCATAACAACAACAACACATGTCCAACCATAGATAACATAGATTATAGTCGAGTCGTGTACTCCGAAGTCGAGTCGTGTACTCCGATAAGCACGGACGTACACCGCAGCAGGTCGCTCCGTATCGCAGCCGACTCTGTTCCCGTGTGCGCTCGTNCAGGCAAGGTGGGAAGCGACCTCAAAAGCCGCATGGACGCGCCGCGCCATTCCGGATATAGGTAGATGGCTAGGCAGAACTGTACCGTTAGTGCCTCTGACGTTTCACATGACACAGGCATTAACGGGCCACGGATGCTTTCAATGGTACATGAACCGGATGGCGAGGGCTGACAGCCCACACTGCTACCAGTGTTTGGAAAACTCCGACACCGCAGAGCACACATTGTTTGAGTGCTCCTATTGGGATCGATTCCGCGACCAGCTGAGCGCCCAGTTAGGTCGTCGACCGACCGCGGCTGATCTTCCTCGGATTATTTGCGGCCCAGAGTTTGAAATACTCCCGGCGGATCTCACTGAGAAGTCCGCGATACTAAGAGACGCCGAGGAACAATTCAGGCTGTTTTACGGTATGGTGGAAGGCATTCTGTCCGCGAAAGAAGAGGAGGAAAGAGCCCGGCAGACCGTCATAGCCCGAGACGCGACGGCGGAAGATGAGACCTAGACTATATTTAATAATACAAAATGGAAGCATAATGTGATAGTAGTGAGTGGGAGACTGGCCCACCTCTGCTAATAAGGTCTTTGTATTGATTATTCAATAAACGATGGGGGCCGGAGGAGAAGTATTGGCAACATAGTTCCTTCTCCGGTCCTCGATACCATAGAAAAAAAAAAAAAAAAAAAAGATAACATAGATTATAAATCGATTTGATTATTTGAATATAATAATATATTACAAATTTGAACGAACAGTGTTGCACGATATAAAGAAAAAGAGGGAAATTCCCGGTACGTGGCAGCACGTTTAAAATCTAGAAATGTCGGACGTAGTTTTATCATCTCCCATAAGAGCCCATATTAAATGAAATAAGATTCCGTTCTGTTTGTTCTGTGATAGTACTTTCAATTCTGTATAATATAACGAAGCAGTCCAGATACATGATCACTCATTTCATTAACTCTTCTACTAACAGTTTGATGAGAAAGTGATACGGTTTCAAATTTACTTACCATTTCTTTGTTTCCAAAAGCATTTGCCATTTTTATTGCACAACGTTTTAATTAATTCACTGTCTCTAAAATTTTTTTTTTTGACCAATTCTAAACATACTTCATGAGAAGCTATCAAATTGTCACAATCGTTAATTTGTTTTTTTAAAAATACATTTTTTGTTTTGTGAATTTCGAAGTAAGGTCTTTTAATAATGCAAGCCGAGTATCTCCAATATATTTGTCATATGATTTGTGCATGCTCGTGTAATGTCTACTTATATTATATTCTTTTATAACGCTAATAACTTGTAAACAAATTAAGCACATAGGTTTATTGTTATGTTCAATACATAAATACATTAGTTCCCATTTTGCATTAAATGCTCTTTTTTCATCGTCAAATTTACGTTTTTTTCTTTCAGACATAGTAAAAATAAAACTTATATACGGTAATAACACGGGGACTGTCACACGAACACACGCGGTCGACTGGTTAACGATTACTGATTAGATTTAGATTTAGCTCGCGATTGTGCGATTGTAAATATTATTCACTCCGTTCATCGCGATATGACCGACTCACCGCATAATAATAAAATGTAAAATGTATAGTATAAATTCGTAATAAGATCGTATGCATTTATTTTATATCTTCTTATTGCGATTTTGTAATAATATTATTGTGATTTTAAATTTAAATTTCAAATTGTTGGGGGGCCAAAAAAAAGGCTTCGAAGGCCGCGGGTTGGACCACCCTAACTTATAATACAACTAACCTCTTTAAAAAAAGATTATATTTTACAGGGCAAAATATTTGATCCAGACATATACGAGTATACGACGTTACGTCATTGATTATAATGTGTTGTTTTGAGTCGATGTACATTGGGCCAATAGTATTCAATGTGTGGCGCCTATTTTTCGATAATCGACTATCAACTGTATTGACTAAACTTGAAAGTATTCACGACAAATTGATAAATCTGCATGTGGTCAGGCCGATAAAAATAAAAATGAATTGGCTGTTTAACTTAGGAGTTTTCGTCCATTTTATAGCATATAATTTGAACATTATCAACTCGATTATACTTACATACAGATTTATGAAGATTTTAAAACATACGGTAATCATCAACATCTGAAAACATTTTAATACTAATTACATAGATATATCTAAGACATCCTCGTCTTCGAGTGTTTATAATAGTATGTATATTATAGAATAAACAACTCGGGGAATGACATTATTGTTTAATATGATATAGTTCAACATTATATTAAATAAATTAAGTACATTTCAATCCAATCGTTTCAATATTTTTTTAGGTGGCTGCGTTGGTTGCAAGCATTTGTGCATGCGTTGCGTTTTATGAACACATGCTACTTGTATTGTACATAAAGTGGATAGTGTACATAATAAACGAACAAATCCCAAAAAATAAATCAACCATAAGTACTTACAGGGACTTGTACTTGGAACTTATAGAATGCTTAAACGATATAAATAGAACAATTTACGGTTTGCCAGGCATAGTGAATTTTATTGCAGCAAATGTTGGTACAAACCTTTTTGTATTGTTCTATAAATTCATATTTAGCAGAAACCCTATCTTTGAAGATATTCATTTAACATTTATCGACATCATAACATTTATCTCAAGGTCAGTCAATATTATACTATTTTACGGGATTGGTCACGCCACAACAAAAGAGGTTTTTATTATACTTATGTACATTATTATAATTACTAGTTAAGAAGAGTTAATACTTTAATAGGTCTATGGTTAAATACCAATTCGAACAATATTAAACAGTAAATACATCTTAGTCTATTGAAATCAGTCCATAAAAATACAGTGGAATCTCGATTATCCGTGCTCACTCTTCCGAAAAATTAAAAATATGTAAAAATAATAATATAAATAATATGTGGACTGTACGCCATATTATACACAATTTAATTAAGGCCAGACAAACATTTTATATTACATATTAATATTATACGTTATCCACAAACGTATTAATTACATTTTTGCCGATAACAATACGACCACGCGTATATCGCAGGTATATACATGAACGTACATAGTTTCGATTATTAATCTCTATTTTCGATCAACTGTGGTTTTATTTATCCGTGTAACCCCCTTCCCACCATTACCAAGGATATTCGAGGTTCTAATGCAAATGTAAACAAATACTCGAAGAATATAAGTAACAACTTAATATTGTTGAATATGGAAAGCCAATCGTTTTTTCGTACATTTAGTCCAATAAACGTAAGAAAAATAAATATACTTCCAGAAATCTAATTTTAATTTTGAAAAAATATTCGAATTTCTTCGCTTCTTCTCTGTGATTTATCTAATTTTTTTTGTTGAGTAACACAAAAGTTTAACTGAATTTTGAAAAATTAATTTAATAATATACTAATTAAACAGTACAACAAATCGAAAATCCATTTCCTACATAACCTAGGAAAGAGCTGAATAATAAAGAATTCAAATCGGGCTCTTGGTACTGGGTGATTTTTTCTTCCGCTTTTTGAGACTTTCGTGTTGAAACTTTTTTGATCGCCAATTATAGTGACGTTTGACTGCATGTACCAATATACGTAACGGATTTCCACCAGTCTTGGCCGTCGTTTATCTTTACATTAAGTGTTCAGAGAACTCCCGCACACTATATAATGATCAGTCACTAGCTCACTACATATATAGTCGCACATTACCCACGATGGATATAGAATATTACTTAAATCTGACTCCTTAATAATGGATCGTGTTCGACAGCCTTAAATGTTAATAATATTATTATATCAAATTATCAAATATTCCAATTAGTAATCACAATTCAATACAATTTAACATACAATTTTGAAAGTATCTAAACATAATACGTTAAGAACTTAAATATTTAACACAGTATTTTTTATATGTATTTAATATTATTTGTCAAACTTATTTTTTTGGTTTTCAGGTAAATCGGATGAGTCTTGTCTTACATCAGCGGTCCATTGTAGAAAGAAACCCTAGAATTAAACGACAGGTATTATTTAAATTATTACTATAGTTATCATCTGAAACACGCTACGCTTTGCTAGATAATACATATCTAACGAACATATAAATTAATTAATTTGAAGACCGTGTTTAAGGGGGCAAATATTCAAAGCTTCAAGTGCTTTGTGCCATTGCATATTCGGTGTTTTTTTAAATGTAAAAAAGTATAAAATCTAAAATTATCTCGTAAATCAGTCACCTCAAATGAAAATCGATTTATTTGCAACTTAGTCACTTAGGTATAGGCAACCCGACTACGTCGGATCGCGGGGAAAATCATAGCATAGTATATCAGGTGGGATAGAAGTCGCCAACCAGTCGATCTTTAGAAGAATGTTGGTCGATCTTATTAAAAATAAATTATACTAACATCTGTTGATCACGTGCGTAATCTTAAAGTTTAAGACTTAAACACGCCTTTACACTTTATTTTATTTTATTTGATGATTATACGCCCCGAAGAGCATTTAGTTGACAAAAATATAGTAAATTAGATAAATTACATAAGTAGTAAATAAGTTAATACAATTATATATATAGATAACAGGTAAAAGTAAAGTGGCAGGACTAAGGTTGGTTTAATAGGTGCAACATTCTGTGGAGAGGCTGGTTGTGACCATATGAGGTGAGATGGGTAGGGATAGAGAAAAGAGAATGGTGTCTAGTAGAGTAGGAGGGAACGCGAAATGAAACAGTGGCTAGTAAGTCGGGGTAGTCGATGGTACCATTGAGTAGAGATGTGATGCACATGAGATCTGCGTGTTTAAGGCGAGATGCAAGAGTTGGGATATTGAGAGTGGAGCGGATAACGTCATAATCATGAGGTGTGTGTTCAATGTTTAATAAATAGGCAATAAAAGATAGGAAACGATTTTGTACTCGTTCAAGTCGCAATTGATCACAGGCCAGATATGGAAACCAAACGACCAATCCATATTCAAGGATGGAACGGACAAGGCTGAAGTAGAGGGTACGGAGACAGATGGCGGAGGTAAAGAGGGTTGTGTTTCGTTTGATGAATCCGAGGATCTTCAGACTTTTCCCAACAGTGACATTTAAGTGGTGTTTGAAGGAGAGGGTGGGTGATAAATAGAAGCCTAAATCTTTGATAAGATGGACGCGTAAGAGGGGGGAGCTGCCAAGGTGGTAAGAGTATACTATGGGGCTACGTTTCCTACAGAAAGTCATAGCGTGACATTTGTACAAGTTGAGGGGCAGGTTAAGGAGACGCGTCCAATCGAAGAAATCATTCAGTTCGGCTTGTAATAAAAGGCAGTCAGCGGGTGAGTCAATTTTACAAAAGATTTTTATGTCATCCGCAAATAGGAGAACCTTGGCAAAGGAGAAACACTTATTTATTGAATTTACAAATATGATAAAAAGAAGAGGACTTAGATGACCTCCCTGTGGAACACCCGAGGAAATTACAGATAACTCTGAAACGGCTCCGTTTAGCTTAATAAATTGTCTACGAGATGTTAAGTAAGATGCGAACCAGGAGATGAGTGGTTGGCCGATACCGAGCGAGTCGAGTGTGGCAATGAGAAGTTCATGGTCTACTGAGTCAAACGCTTTCTTGAAGTCAGTATGGATTGTGTCAACTCGACTATTTGCCTCAAAACTGTTTAGTATGTAGGTAGTGAAAGAAATGCTACTGGTGATAATTGACTTGCCAGGACGGAAACCATGTTGAGAGTCAATAATTATGTGATTGAGGTTTCTTTTGATACAGGAATAAACGATGGATTCAAGGAGTTTGGCCAGGTGTGGCAAGATAGAAATAGGTCTATAGTTGGAAACGTCAGAGCGGTCACCAGCTTTGAAGATGGGGGTGATAGAACAGGTTTTCCACACATCGGGGACAATGCCTTCGTCTAAGGAGCGCCTGAACAGAATGAAGACTGGAGTAGCAATAGCATGCCGACAACTATATAGTAGACGAGCAGAGATGCCGTCTGGACCGTTTGAGTTATTATTTTTTAGAGATGCAAGTGCAGAAAGGACGTCATCAAGACTAAAGTGGCAGTTTGATGGTAGATTATATGGGTATAAATTATCTAAATGGGTACTAGAAGGTGAGGGGAGAGGAGGCTTGAAAACAGATAGGAAATATTTAGAGAATAGATTTACTGAATCAACGGGGGAAGAGGCTGGTTCGTCATGGAGATGAACGGTGGATGGGATTGGAGGGTTAGATTTTAAATCTTTAGTAAATTTCCAGAAGTGAGAAGGATTGGTTGAGATGGCATTTTCGGTTTTTTTGATGAAAAGTGAATAATCGAGTTTGGATTGACGTTTACATTTGGCACGCAGTTGAGAAAATAGCGTATAGTCATGAGCAAGGTTGGAACGTTTGAAGGTTATGTGAGCACGTTTCTTGGTTATAATCATGTTTTGAGTAACGGGGAGACCCAGCGAGGAAATTTAGGTGTTTTGTAAAATTTTAGTGGGATAAACTTATCGATTGAATTAAGAAGGGCGTCATTAAAAACGGATGCGGTATCGTTAATGGAGTAAGCAGATAAAGTAGATTTCCAATTAAAAGAGTTAAGGAAGTGAGATATGGAGGTGTAATCACCAGATTTGAAGTCGTAAAATGAGTGGGATGCTTGAGCAATGGGTTAGGCATTGAGAGATAGACTAATGAACAAGGGAGGGTGGTAAGTGTCGGATTTAAGGAGAGCAGGAGTCTCCGGGTTTTTGGCTCTCGCCTACCGCCACTCGTCCGTGCCTTAGCGCTGAGCGCTACTTACGGGCGAGGGTGGAATTAGTGCGGCGACGCAAGCGCCGCCGGGCTAGGGTCTTCTGTGGAACACCGGCACCGGGCCCGAACCTTTCTTGAGGTCCGGGATGACTCAGTTAAGTGCCACCAGGGTACCAGACCTCCCACTAGGTGCAGTGGTTTGCTGTACTACTATCGAGCGCTGGTCCCACAACCACCACGTTTCAGCCGAGGTAGGCTCCTCAACCTTGAGGGGCATCGCTTCTGACGGCGGGCCGTGCAGCGTGCGATGGGGCTCCCCTCTCCCGTGGCACCGACTAGGTTTTAAGTTGACGTCGGTTGGTCAACCCGGTCACCGGAGTGACCTCCCACTATTCTGGCCACTACCTGCTTTTAACCTGAGTGCAGTTCAACCATTACCTTTTTTCAATCCAAGTGCAATTCGACCATTCATTTGTAGGTAATAAGTGCAATTCGACTATCCCGCCTTATTCGAATATCTCAATGTTTTTCTTAGGTGTCAAATAATGCGTTTGTTACTGAACGAAATAAGCAATTTTCATCACCTACCATGAAGATTATTAATTAATATACCATTTTATATTATTATCAATTAAAAACAAAATTACAAGAACTTTAAACCACACATGATGGTGCACCATTGTATATCTATTTTCTAAATAACTATTTAATTAATTTTTTTTTCAATATTTTCTCATCAAACGGCTCATTTACACACCACTTAAGCGTTTAAAACAAAAATCTCAAAAATCGGTTGGGTAGAACTTCAGATATAGGCTGTTAAAAGAAATCACCTCACGTTTGAAATAGGTACCTTTATATAAATAAAGATAGATAGGTACCTACTAGGATATTAAATTATTACTTTACATCTATGTTTTAAAGAATCAAGTTATGAATAATTATTATTTGTATTACTTTTTAGATAAAGTTTTTTATTCTACGAAGACATCATGAACAATTTCATTTTGAATTATATGGAATATGTGAGATTAATCCAAGACAACTACTCTTTTTATTAAATAAAGCGTTGGCTTACTTTATAATTCAAGCTCAGTTTCAATTGAATAAAAAATAAAAAGAGATAGGTAATTAAATGTTACACATTCGATTATCAGTCATTTTGTCTACTTTTTATTTGAAGTACCCATATTACATATTAATATGTTTGGTGCTGGAACCTAACATTTAAGTTATATTTTACAGTGTATACGACTAAATTGTATTAACAAACGGTATCTATGAATAAAAATATTAGAGTCAAATTGTATCCCATATTTCAGTATTGTTAAAAGCATTATGTACGAGTACCTAACTATAAGCATACTTTTGAAGTTTTTATTTACATAGTTGCACATACCTCCGGCCTCTAGTTATAAGTCATTATTTCTAATTTCTTTAGAATATCTATGTAATATACCTAATATCGTTCATACATTATACCTAATACATTCGAATCAAATAGTCGACATTTTCATAAATCATAACTCTGATGTAAACTTAGACAAAATTAATTAGTTATAATTATTGTACAATTTTTAGTATACGTATTACGTTATTATTAATGTTGGTACATTTTTTTAATTGATATTTATTTAAATATTTGTGTTTGCTCAAAGAACATAGGTAAAGGGAGCGCAATCGTGTTTTGCTTTCTCAAATATAAAAAGGTAAAGTGTGCAGTAGTGTTGCGCCGAAAAAAATGATGCAGATAAGCAAATTACCTTCTACCAACTCAATAAAATTGTCCTAGAATGGGGAGTTACCCGTTCCCGCCATAGCCCTTTTCCGCCAAAAATTAAGTGCAGAAAATCAGACATACTATGTATTTCCAAGTGCCTTGCTTCTAAATCTTCTTCAAATAAATAGATAATAATAAAATTATAATTTATTACAAAGATAAAATTGTAATACTTGTTAATTTTTTTTTTGTTATTCAATCAAAATATGCATAATATTATGGTACATGAATAAAATTAATAATGATTGTTTTTAAAGAGATTAATACTATAAATAGATAATGATTATAATTTATAATAATAATAAAAAATAATATTAGTTGGTTAAAAAAAAATGTGTGGTTTACATTACCCAAAAACCCAAAAAATATAAAATCGTTTAAAAACTACAGAAGACACAATTACAAAAAAAAATTCCAATGAAATTAGTGGGTACACATTTATGAAAACTGTTTCTTTTAATTATAAGATTTTTTAAAATGTGACCTATACTTACGATTGTAATTTTTTAAAACTAGACATATACTTGTATTATAATTTATATTTTTTGTGACATTTTTAAATATTTAAAAATGACGATATGTTTTTTCAAAACTCTATAGAGACTATATTTTAATATATTTTTGATTATACAATATTTTAAAAACTAATAAAATTGTGCCTATATTCAACTAACGCGACTTTGTCAACTCTCCAGCCGCACTGCAAAGGCACTAGGGGGGACGGGAAGACAAGTCGCGCTGCACAAGTACCGTCCGTCGGCGGCCGGCGACGGTCTCGCTATCGCCTATCTTAAGCCGGTCGTAGCGTGGGCAGCACGTTAATCGCCGCACAACCTACCACATCTCGTAAATCCATTTGTTCTTATAATGTTAACATAAATTATAGCGAATAACTACTCACGTAAATAAAATTCCATTTACTGTATCAAACCAACCAAAGTGTGTGCAATACTATTTTCTTTTAAGTGTCACCCACCGCCTCCATCACTGCACAGTTGCGACCGGCCGACCGCAACGATCTTCACCGCCGTAGCCGCGCCAGCATGTGGAAATACAAGCTTCTGTTTTCAAATGAGAACCCTCCTCTTATACACCACCTCAATTATTATGAAGTGGATCATTTTTTTTGAAAACTTTAAAGAATCATAATCAAAATTATGATTGACCACCCGGGTGGTCATGCATCCAGGAACTAGTGACACCGTCCAGTACTGGCACTCAGAACACATTTGTGACTAAAGCCAATCACGACATCACTATAATATTATTATATACTCAGTTAATTATATAAAAATAATAAACCTATTATAACACTTAAGTCTGTTCAAAATGAGATCGGACCTCGGCGGCGACCAGTTTTCGTTCCGCGATGGTCAGACGCCGTCCCCACTACAGCGACATATCGGGCGCTGCCAAGCTCATGCGCACAACTCGGCAGCCGAGGTCCGATCTCATTTTGAACAGAGTATACTTAATTAGTGATTAATAACAGTACACAAAGAAATTACCAAGGAGGTATGTGGTATATATGTATAATATATACCTACATGACGGCTGACACGCACAATTAGTTTTACAAACAAATCTATAAATAGGGTAATACCATAATTATTGTATCTGCAATTGAAACACTTCCAAGTTCCAGGACAAGAAAAACTTTCAGTCATTAAGATTCGACTAAAATACATATAATTTAATGGAAGACCTCAACTATCTTTGAATTACCATTTGGAAACTAAATACTTTACATATCAAAACTACTAAAAAAACTTAGTCTAACATAACACTAAAATGCAAACAAATTTTATAATTTAATTTAAGTACAACAATTCAAATCATAGAACAAGAAAAAATTTAATTTAATTTAATAATATAAAAACAATAACTTCCGTATACTTTGTAGTAAAAAAAAATAGAAACTAAAAAATCTTGTACTTTATAATTTGGTTAAGTAAATGTATGTAACTTATTGACACTTAATTTATTGGAACTTTATACAATCAAGAACGTTTTTGTTTTCAAGATAAAGTTTAACTTGATTTGGAGTTCTACCATCATTCTCTGTAATGATGCACATAACAAATGTATTTTTGGGGTTCGCCAACTTTTGGAAGTTACTCAAACTATACTCTTTATAATCATCAAGAATCAAGGAACATGTCATGCATAATATAGAAATGTTGCGTATACTTTCTGGTAATTCATACAAATTCATAACAGCCAAAACATCCAACGTATCATCTATGTCAACGATTAAATACTTATAACCGCTAAATGATTGAAACTTCACACGTGCATATTTTGATTTGATTTTGGTAAGATACAACTCACCAACTCTAGGGTTTTGAACCTCCACCATATCCGTTTTATTAATATAACTTTTCAACAATTGGGATATAAATTTCTCATCACTAGATATTGCTTTAATTTTGAAATCTGTAAAAGACTTAACATGTGTCAAATGAACGAGTAGAGGATTCATCATTTCACTAATGTCAGAATCTTCTAGCTGCAAAGAGACCACACAAGGATCTCCATGGGTTTTTATAATCATATTAAACTTGATACCATCAACTGTTGTAATGTATTCAAACATATCATTAACATCAGGAAACCAAATTTCATTTTCTCGGCCGGCCAACTTAGGTGCATACAATGAACAGCGTCTTACCAATGGAGGGCACATGCAAAGGAATTCTGTAGGCTTATAGAATTCAGTAAATTCTTCATATTCACCTAAGTCCAATAGATAACATTTAGCACTGATGCCATTGGTGATTATTTCTATTTTGGCTCTACACCAACAATTAAAATGAATACTGTGTGTAACAACAATGGAACCAACCATGGAATCATTTAAATATAATTCAACTATGCTCACGTCCAATTCTTCAGAAATACGTTGTATGTACATCATTGATAAGCTCTCAGAGTGCGCATAAAAATATTGGAATGTGTCAATATACTTGATAACCACAGTTTCTACTTCAGGTATAATCAAATCATTTTCATTATTTTGTTTCTCTGGCATTGTTGACACACTGGAAGTAATATCCGATTTGTTAATGTAACTTGCAAATAATTTCACCTCAAGTAGCGACTGAGTATAAGACAACAGCTTACATTCAACATCTTTGTTTAAAAGTGTATTAATGTCAACATTTGACACCACTTGACAACGCAAAGCACAATTTGGTATTTTCTGAATTTCACTACCCAATTTAGTGGTTTTCAATGCTTTAAACTGTTCACCTGAATCTATTGACAAAACATTTACAGCACTTCCATCAATGTCCAATATCAAAGCTCTGTGCCATTTTTTTGTTATTGAATGTAATGCAGCACACATAGAACCAATTTCAGTCACAGCTGGTATCATTTTTGATTGCATTTTTACAAGAACATCCATAATAATCTTTAGCTTATCATTAAGTAAATGAGGAACAATCCAACACTCACTGCCTGAGTTAATACAAGTGACTCTCACTAAACAACCATTTTTAAGAGATTCCATTAACATGTTTTGCGACTGTCCTGGTGTAATTTTGTTTGGCGAAATAATAAGTGTTCCGTTGAGGTCTACGTGCATATTGGCTAGGAACGGTGTTCTGGAAATGTGACATGCCATTGGAAATGTCTTAACAGTGATGACAAGTGCTGGTAACAGGGCTATTTTAGTACTTCCCAAACATTGTAACTTTTCCTTCTCTATTTGTTTTTCATAACCAAAGTCAATGCAATGTACAACTGCCAATTTGGAATTAATCGATTTAACTACACATCTATAATATTTACCATGACTTTCAAACATGCTTATGTCTCCCGGTACCATGGTAGCTTTACTTTTTAATTTGCCAGAAAGTTTTGATAGATTTTCAGATATTTTTTCAACTTTTGATATGTCTTTAGATATTTGCAAGTAATTCAAGTCATCATCAACATGTAAAAATGATATTTTTTCAATGCCCCGAACAATAGGAGTGGAAAGTGGAGCAGAACTATGTTCTTTTATATTTATACGTAACCTAGAAAATCAAAAAATATTAACACATAATGTATACATTTAAACTAATTATTATTATCCAGTTAGTTTTAATTTGTATGATATAAATTGTACCGATAACAATAGTTCTAAAATTATAGAATATATTTTGTAGTAACTTGAATTATACATATGTTAACAAAATCATTAAATTTAAAGTGAACTATTGCATAATTTAACATATTATACAAATCATAGAAAAACTGAGCAATAACTCTGTTACAATAACATAACATTTTGGATAGAAAATTAAAAATGTAAAGATTAGTTTAATAAGCTATATGTATCTGACAAATATAACAGATGATTAACTGTCTCTAAAAAATATTTAAACATGATTTCAAAATGTGTAAACTTACATTCCGTTAGGATCGATGGATTTTACTGTTATTTTGTACAAAGTTTTTTCAGTAATTTTTAAGTCTAAGTTAGTTTCCATACAACAATTCAAAAAAAGCTGAGGTCTTCTCATCAAATTACTTGTAATTGGTTGAATCTAAAAAAGTTTTGAATATTATCTTTAAAAGACTTTAATTTTAAAATAAATTTAATTAAGTTGAATATAATAACTCAATAACTCAAAGTTTTTTTTTGTTTTTGAGGTGTGTAACAGTATATATAGAGTGATTCACCAAGCGTGTTCATTTCCACTTTTTTCTTTAATAATAAACTTATTAAAAATTGAATTATTATAATTTTTAAATATACCCAATTTAAACCCAAAGACCATACTTTCAAGTTCTTGATTATTTTGTACAACTTAAGAAGTATCCAATGGTGATAATAACTTCTGTTTTTCAAACGAGAACCCTCCTCTTTTACTGTACATTCATTGAGAATAATTTTTTTGAAAATTTTGATGTCCATATTTCAAATTTGAATAACTAGTTCGTTAGTTATTACAATTTTTGTACTAATTATAATAGTCATTAAAACTGGTTTTACATAAATATTAAATAGACATGAAATTGGATTTAGTATTTAATATAATTGGGCCAATTTTACAAATTATTAATTCTGATAGATTAATATTTATGACTACAAGTTTCAAATCACCATAACCCCCATATTTTATAAACTCAAAACTGTGGACCTTTTACCTTAACTCAAAAACTACTCGTACAAATTTTTATTTTTATAAGTTGAAAATTTCAGAAAAATTACCTACTGAATAATTTATAGTTGAATAGAAGTGTTCTCATTAGAAAAAACAGTATTTCCACAGGATACTTCTTAAGTAGTACAACAAATCTCAAGACTTTGAAAATATGGTTTTAAAAATACAAAAGCTTTGCTAGTTATTTTAAAATAAAATGCAAATTTAAATTTAAAAAAAAAAAATCAAATTTTGAATAACATTCATTATTGAAGAAGAAAAAGGTGGTGAGCATGCTTGGTGAATGGATGTCTTTATTTCATCAAAGCAAATTTATTTTTACTTCCCTTAAATTATCAACACTCAATTATACATACAAATTAGTGAAAAATGTGTACAAGATTTAATTAATAGGTTATAACCAGGGCTCAGAACTAAACAGTGAAATATGTGTATAGGTATGCACTAAAAAAAAGCCCAAATGTACAGTATATAATATTGAATTATTTTATGTTATGAAGTATTTTTGAAATTATGCTTTTTAGAATATTTTTTTTTACATAAGCTACAATATCATCAACAGTACTAAATTGTTTTCGTACTTCCCCAAAACTCTATGGAGGCCATTGAGCTCTTGGTAAAAATTATTCTTTTTATTGCATTAATGTTAAATAAGACCATGCCAACCATTAAAAATTTAAAATTGACACTCAGTATAATATTGAACATTAGTTTGTGGTTGATTTATAGTAAATTATTTATTGATTGTGTGATCAACAGACATTATTACTACAAAATATAATAAATAATAATACAACAAAATAAGACAACTACCATTAATTATGAACACAACATGCATTAAGAGGACGTTATAACCGCATGGGTTGTTTCCGTCTTACAAGTGCGTAACATCCCAAATTTTAAGCTCAGCAGATCACGTTAACCCAGTTAACTTAAAAATTAGCGTGAATTGATGATTGAGAGTTATGAGTATTTTAAGTTGTACAAACAATTTACAATTTTTTAATACTCATAACTTTCTTTAAAATTAAAATATAATGAGATAATCCATGAAAAGCCCTCCGTAAAAACCTTACCTTTAATTTTAATACGAGATCAATTCGCTCTAATTTTTAAGCTAACTGAGCTAAACGTGATCTGCTGAACGTAAAATTTGATATGTTACGCTCTTGTAAGACGGAGACAACACATGTGGGTATAATGTCTTCTTAATATGATTTAAACATGCAAAATCTTATAAATTAAGAAATACAACACACATTTCAATACTTTGGTTGTATATATCATGAACGGATTTTTATTTAATTTGATTTTGAATATGCAACTTCCTAAGAAATATGCAAATGCATGAAGTTCAAAACCTGGTTTTAAATAAATTAAATCAATATTTTGGATTTAATAAAATGTTAATAAAGCAAAAACCTGATTTAAGGAAACATCAGTCAATAAACCAATGTCAAACATGTTTACTATGATGGACTCTTCATTTATGTTTTTAATATAAGCTCTATACCAATGATCATTATCGACAGTTGCCAAACAATATGTATTTTGTAAATAATTGATATCAATTGATTTAGAATCCTGTGCATAACAAATTAAACAAATCATGGTTAAATTATAGTGACAACATTAAAATTATTATTAACAAACAAGAGTGAACTTACAGGGTTTTCATTAATGTGTTTCACAATTTCTTCTTCCAGTTCATCAACAGTATTTGGTTCGGGTTGAATTCCAAGTTTTAAATGGTAGTTATAAACGTATGAGAGAAAACTTTGACCTATTAATAAGTTTTCTTCGTATGGATTTTCATCTATAAAAATATTTACAGTTAAAAAATTGTTAATAATTAAACTAAACTTCTAAGGTTATACTAGTTTGGTAGTTTTATATTGAAGAATATGATATAATAATAAAAAAATTTTTAATTGTCAATAACAACAATAAATACATTATTGTATTAGTATTACAAGAAAAAGTACATAATATTCACACTTCCCCAATAAGCATAGTTTATGATAGAAGATAGTTCATAATCTATAATATACATTAACTAAAAGCTACAGCAAAAGTTAATATTAGTATGTATAAACAAGATAAAAAAGATACAAAAACAAAAGTAAAAATAGAAATATTAAAATTATTAAATGCACATATTATTTGGATCTAAAGTGTATGTAATTTATAAATTGTTTTTTTTATTCTATATTTTCATATGACTTAGATCAATGTTGAATTTCCTGCATACAGAAGTTACAACAAAAATTACACTTTTCTAACCAAAGACTGTTTAAACTCCACTTAATTTAAATTTGATAATCGTTCAGATTGTTGAGTATAATTGTGTGCATGCTGTATAGTATAGCTGCTGATGTCCATTTTAAATAATTGGAGTAAAATATTTTTTTAAATAAAGCCCATTAATATTTTAGAATAAAAACATTTTAATACAGTTGGATAGTTGAGAAAATCGATCTTTATTAAGTATGATTTTAATTAAAGTGTTTACCACAACTTCTAATTAATGCAAACTAGTTTTGTTTGTTCCATCCCATACGAAAATTGCACATAATAAAAGAGATTGTACTAATGCAAAGTACACCATCTTAAGATTGTTAATATTCAAAATACATTTGAATGATTTAAATTTAAAAAACAATTGTCAAATACCTGAACCAATATAACAATTTGGATACTCCATTTAAAATGTTCATCAATAAAAAAACAACTGACTAACTAACTTAACAATTCCTAAATATTTAATACTTGCTGTCTTATGTATAATCACACTAGTATGGCTAGTAGTATAGGAGGATGATGGTAGATTAAATCATTAAAGATGGTGGTATTGTAGACAAATTCACTTAAGTAATGACATTATTTAGCAAGCAATGTAGACACTTGCTAGTCATTAGACACAATTACAATATAACTATACACTTCTGTCTAAACACTGAGTACTGACGACAATAGTTGAATCATATAAATTCAATTACTATAAGATCACTTTAACAATAATGAAAATAGTGTGCAAGAGAAGTCCCAACGACCATATCACTAACCTTCATATCGATAGCTTAATCTTTATCTTATATTAATAATACTACAGAAGTATCATAACATTTACTTAAATGGATCATGTTTATCTCATCAATAGTTGTAGTTCTATTAAGGATGCCCTAAGCAATTGGATATTTAATTTGTTTATTACCTATAAGCTGGCAAAAACTAAACATAATTCTAATAGTCCAATTATAATTTTAAATACTAATTTAAATTTGTAAATCTTTTTTCAGTGCTTTGCAGGAATTTTTTTAAATTTTTTGTCTCATTGGCCCTTTACATGTTTAGTTTGAGAAATCATATAAATTTGTTTAAAACTATATTACATATACTTTTCAAAATATTGAAAATACATCTCTAACAAAACATATAATAGAAGCTAACGAATTAAAATCTTTTTCAAAATTAAAATTTGACAATTAAAAGTGTGTTCATTTTTCACCACTTTATTGGCGTTATTACTTATTGTCGTGTACTCACAGTAGTACAAAAATATTTTCAAGCATTGAAATATACATGTGCATACGTGTGCTATATACTGTAGTTGCCTAGTCAACCCGCAGGCAGGTAAGGAATCCTCACTCACACTTATTATCATTAACAACCAACAAAAGCAGATTATAAATTGCCTAAATGTTGGCTCTTAAACAATAGCCACTAAGAGCCGTCTTAAATAAAATCTGCAATTTACCTGTTTTCATAGCAGCATTTAAACGTTGCCCAATTCCAGACTGAAGTATAGCATTCGAAACATCAACACTAGTATCTTTTTTTATCATCTGCACAACATTGGTACCAAACTCATCAGTTTCTACAATCAGTACCTTATATAGTTGACCTATTTTAAAGTGTGGTTGTAACATTAATATAATATCAGTATCCATAACAGGGAACCACATGTCACTTAATGAGCAATCTATTACTAATTGTCCAGGTACATAACAATCACTTTCAATAAAATTGTACAATATGATTTTGTCAAAATATGCATTGATTATTTTATCTCCTTCATCAATCAATTGTAATTTAATCTCTATAAATATATAAATTCAATAATTTTTAGCCTAATAGTGGTAAAATATTGCACCCAACAATCAAATCAAAGTAGCTAACTTTCAATTGTAGAATCCATTTCAACTATTTTAGCACGAAAAATAGAATTTTTTGATTGATAAATAACATACATATTTTCCACAAGATCAATTTTTTTCAAAATACAACGAGATTCCAACATATTTTTAATAAGGTCCATAAAAGGTTCAAAATTTGGACTGTATTGTCTCACACTAAAGTTAAAAGGTGATTTGTAATAAATCAATGAACCAATAATTTCTTGTGCGTTATTTAAAGCTTCTTTCTTTAAAAACATTATTGGGAATATCTAAAAAAAAATTGTTGTATACATATTATTTAAATGTTGTTTATAATGTTATATACATATTCATTTAATATCTTCATAATCCTTACATTCTTTTAAAATTTTTTTTACTTATTTTGAATGACAACATACAGTTTTCATTTCATTTTCAAAAGCAGGATATTTTGATACATAAAAATCAAATTAAGGACTAGAAGTTTATGAGTTATTACTTATTGCTTATAAGTATTTAAAGGGTTGATGAGTGGAGTGGAATACGGTTACCCCATATAAAATGTTGGTCCAATACTCAGCTCGTATTAACTTTTGAATGCTTAGACCTCATTAACTACTCATCTTAAATTCAATTTTTATTAATCAAAATATTTATAAAAATACTGTGGTTGCTGCTTCTTGGACTCACTTTGGGACCTGACCATTTGAGTCCATTAACCGAATGAGTTAATAAGGCGAATGACTCAAAATTTTTTTTTAAAAATCTTTAAATTTAAAAACGTATTTTATTTAAAAATATTTTTTGAGATTCAAGGTATGTATGTACAAAATTAAAAATCTAGCTATACGCAATTAAAAATAAAATAATATGTAATATAATAATATATGTAAAATCTAATTAATTTTTCGATAAAAACCCATCTAGGGTTGATTGGATTTTCCTTTCTTCGGCCAACTTCATAATCATATCTTCGTAGGATTTATATTGCTCAAATACGTCAAAATCGCCTATTTGCTGAATCCCTATACATACAATTTGAAGCGCAAAATACCGATACCGACTTATTTCACATTTATAATACGTTTGCTCAGTGTATGTACATATTTTACTTATTAATCTTATTTTCAAATGATCCTATTAACCAGCGTGTGAGTCGAATGGACGAATTTTTTGCTGTGTTTGTAAATGTGCAAATCGGGACCAGCTGTTTTGAGTATAATAGGCGAATGAGTCAGTTAACCGTGAGTCCAATAAGCGGCGACCACTGGATTATGTTTTAGAATATAAAATTAAAACTGCATATTGTCACCCAAAAAACTATAAGGATAAAATATTAAAAATTGTTGTTTTTTAATGACTTGAAATCTAAAAACCATGTTTAAATTTGTTTACAAAAATATACACTTTTGGTTCTTCTTCTTTTTTAGCAATATTTAATCAAACAATTGTTTGTAAATATATAAAATTTGAATTTTTTGTTGTATGGCACATTTATTTAACCAGAAGTCCAAGGTCCAGTCCGGTCACCTGTTAGGCAGAATTTTAATTTGGACACCATAGGTTTTTGCCACGGGTTTGAGATGATGGTATTATCTTTAATAAGAAAGTTGCCAACCCAGAAAAATGTTAGTTTCAACCAGCAACAGTGCATAGTAAAACCATCACTCTGTCTAACAATTAATTGATTGAAATGTGCTCTTTGGTTTTATTTTTTTATAATTACATATACATAAAAATATGGTTATTTATAGATTAATAACTATACATAACTTTACAATTTATTGAAGTAAATAATTTTTGTGATGTTTTACAAGTGAGTTTTCAGTGCATGTACAGTAAATTCCCCGGTAAATTCTATCCTCAAGTGTAAAAAAGTATTAAGATATTGTCAACCACCTCACTTGTTTCGTAACTTTTGGTTCTTTTTCCATTACTTCCAGATTTATGATTTCTTTAATTTCTGAATCTATGTTTTCTTTTGTTTCTGAATTTATGTTTACTATTTCTTTTTGAAAACCCTGAAATATTAAGTTAGGTTATTTCAATAAGATTTATTTTATCAATCATATAACACAGGACATTATACTTACATTAAGATGGTTGATTGGTGTTGTACAATTTTCAGCATTATTCTCAATACTTTTAATCTCATCCTGCAAAAATAAATACATTCATACAACTGCCATTGTGGTCTTTACAGTTAAGGTGATTTCAAAATTGTTATTTACATACAATTTAATTCAAATACTCAAAACACAATGTACCTATGTTTCTTTATGATAAGTGATATGATCATGTCATAACATGTAGGAGTGTAGCCTGTGGGGGTATTTTGTGTGTAACCAAGTGGGGAGAGGGTTAAGGTGGGATAGCATCCCTCCACTTATTTGGCAAAACTATTTAAAGCGATATATGAGAACTACATAAATTATGATGGACTTTCTTCCATAATATGTTTTGAGCCACTTTGAAAACGGTATAACCCTCACCCTTCCTCCTGGCAGTAAAAAACCAAAAATATATGAAATGTGTGAGCCTCTCCCACCAAGTTGCATTTAAATTTTCAATTAAACACTATATTTTATAAATAGTGACTATGTGCCTGGTTACATATTAATTAATTATATATTATTATATTAATTAATTTTAATAAAAATAATAAATTGTTAATCTATATATTATCATCTATTTTGCAAAATTTAAAACATTTTTTTTTTACAGTATTATTACATAAAAGTATGTAAATTTTTTTTTTTGTATTTTTAATAGATTTAATATCAAAATTCAAAGTAGAATTTTATTTAACATTAAATCCACTATTTTTTTAGTCATTCGCTACTTATATGTATTATTCGTTATAACTTTTGGGTTCCAAAATAAAATCGTTGGTAAGTATATGATTATTATAGGATTAATAATATAATTAATTTTTATAAATTAGTAAATCAACTGTTTTCTATTGCTCTTTCCCCCTGGAATCCCATTAAGAGGTCAGCGCTTTATTTGTATTCTCTATTTGGCCTACAAGCTACATAGACAAAACAAATTCACAAAAAATCATTTTTATTAAGTTATCGTTGAGTAAAATCTCCTATTTAAAAAAATGATTGATAATTATTAACAGTGAAACTTCAGTATTACAAGTTCTCAAAGGTAACAAAAATATTTTGTAGTAAAGATAAATTCGTTTAATAGAATTAAATGGATCTAATTTGGGTTGGTTCTGAAAAATATTGTTTATTAGAAAATGTTGTTAAATGGATGGGTATTGAATACTTGTAAGAAACTTTTGCTGTGTGTTTGACAATATGTTACAGCAATGTATAAATATTCTCCAAAAAAATTAAATATCACAATTCATTTAAATTTACAAATGTACATAAAAGTTGATAATAAAGTCAAATTATCATAAAACTTTTTAAGAGGACGCCACACTTGCATGTATTGTCTCTATCTTACAATTGTTTGATGTGCGCATTTTCTCTAACTAATAAAATTTCCAAAATCGACATCTCCTGAATGTTAACTTGTGGAAAACAGTTATTTCTATCATTTCTAATTTAACATATACTGTGATTAAAAATTAGCGAACTTATAAAGTTCACTAATGATTTGTGAAAACACCATAATTTGTTACATTTGTGAAGAATCAAACATCAAAATAATTTTCATCTTAATTATTGTTTAAGACTCGTAATTAATTAATGGTTCATTTATTATTATTACCCTGGTACATAAGTAATATCTTTAAAAATATTTTAAACTGAATACATACATTTATTTCTGTTATTGAAAACATTTCTTGTGACTTCATAGATATTGAATCATATGTATCATTTGATACATTGCATACTTCAATAAGCTCTTCATTATTTTTTTTGAATAATTTAACTTTGTATAAACCAAAACTAGGATCTATTTTCAATGGTAACATTTGAAAATTCTTTTGAATAAATATGTTTTGGTCTACAATAGTATCTTTTGGCTTGTCCAGTACCACATTCAAAGATCGCATTTCAATTACATAGTAACTAAAAAATAAAGTTTACAAATGTTATTAATTATTATAAAACATAATTGTATAATTAGGTGCTATCGAAGAAAAAATACATCTTTAGCCACATTCAAATATATTACCTTACTTATATATTAACCTATATTAACCTTACTTGGAAGGTATTTCAAAAACTGCAGTCCTAGGTACTAATTCTTTAATTCCATAATCTACTAGATCAATGTACAATCTATCAATTTTTACTTCTAAGATTATAGCTCTAACCAGTTTGTTATGAAAAACAATCAAACAAGGAGTATACACTTCAAGAACTGGTGCCAGTTTTAAATTATGTCTGTCAATTGAATTTAACATATCAGATAATGCTTCAGATTCATTGTCCTAGTAAAAATAATAAAAAATAAATAAATGCACCCTTAGAAATTAAATAGTTTTTGCTATTTTTTAGTAGGTATATTAATATTAAAATTGTTTTATTTAATTATAAGCTTTAGATATTTTTAATATTATGTAAAATATTATGCGTACATGGTTTTTTTAATATTGATTAGGTTGTAACAATTTTTTACATAATAAACATGGTTGTAAATAATTATTATGCATGCACTATATGCAAATTCAAATATTAAAAATACTTATTTTGTCTTCATTACAAAAAAAAAGGAAGTAAAATAAGTTTCCATTTGCCACTAATAATATTTAGCATAAAAGTACATTTAAAATCTCTCTTGAAAAATATTGCATTGCATGAATATACTTACAAGTGTCCGGACTGTCAGAAGAATTGATATGTTATCTATAACAACCCTTGTGACACTTATGCTTATTAAAGTAATGAAATCTAAACGTTGAGATCGTAGAAAAGAACCAAAGCTTAACGCTTTGCTTGCAATTGGGCAACTGTTGATCATATCGGATTTATTGTTTAATTCAATTGTTGATTCCATACTATTAGCAATGGTGATCATTGTAGCCAAATTGATGTTATCTGCTATGCCTTTGTCAACTAAAATTTTGTCCACATCAAATAATGATATGAATGTGATACCACCAATTTCAAAGTCTCTTCGATATTTGTAATATTTATTGCACAAAATATTAATTAAGTCAATGTCTGATTTTGATTTTGATTTACTTATACAAGTACTCAGCAAAAATGTATATACTGTGGCTCTTTGACACAAATCAATTAAAAAAGAAGGATCTACATCTTGGATTACTTCTCTAACATTAAAATATGAAACCACCATAGTCCGGCCATAATCTATGAGGACTATAGTGTGAGTTTTGGCCACTAAATCTGAATATATAATTTGACATCTATATACTCTTGATTCATAGTCATTTTTCCAAGTATATACATATAACTTGTTTCCAAAAAGGTCTAATGCATTACATTCCTTTAAAAAAGTTAAATGTCACCATATCAAATAATTTAATTATTTAATATTCATACCCTTGAGTAATGATCATAATTTTGTACATTTTTTTCTAAATTTTTTCTCTTTTGAGAGTAAAAGTTTGCCCAAATTTTTATGAAACATCCTTGAAATTCAGCATGAGTCACATAAATGTCATTGTTAGTCAACTTATGAGGAACTAATGATTTCTCCATAATTTAATCCAGTTGTTCTATACTAAAAAAATGGACAGCTATTTTAATAGGGCATAAATAATTTTATATGGCAGTTGTTACATAGAAAAATTATTTCATTACAATTACATGGTATGACATAAATCAGCTTGGTAAAATATGGCTAATGTGGACAACTGAATTGGCAAAACTTGTGTTTGAAAATGTGTCATGATTATCAACATAATATGAATACAATGAACTACAAAAAAGCACTAAACAAATGGAACGACCTGTTTTAAATTACTATTAGATACTTAACTAAAGAAAGGAAGATTGAAGAAAAAAAAGCTATTTATATTTGATGAATTATTTTACAGGATATTTTTTTAGGATTGGTTGGGTAGATTATATAACAAAATAATAAGTCTATCATAGAAAACAAAACATTTTATAAAAGCCCAGAAAATTAAAAGATATACACTGATAAGTCATACTCTACGGCACAAAAATAAACTAGAAAAACTAATAGAGAATCCATAGAAGAAAGACTACCACTCAAATGCATAAGTCGACCAAATATTATGCTGGAGAACATACTAAAATTTGAAAAGAAAAGCAGAGAAGCAAAACAAATGGAAAGTTGCTGCCAACCAGCTCTTGGGCTGTTAACCCAGAAGAAAAACTAAGGAGTTGGCCCAGCATTTGAATTTCTAAAATATTTTTTTTTATTTTAAGTCGAAATACACAATCTATATCATAAGAAATAATAAATATATAGGTGTTATGATATTGGCAACATTGTATTACAATTTATATTTATGTTAACCTCACTTTTATGATGATTTATTCATTCATTGTTCTGTTCACGAGTATATAAATGTTATTGTAAAATGTGAAAATAAAAAACACATAAAGATAAGTTGTGAAAAGTTTTGTCATTACCTCAGGATATTACAAATGTCGACGAAGATATAAAACAAATATGAAGCGTTCAAACACAAATTGTCAATCTAATTAAAGGCTGTAAAGAAAAAGAGCCTGAAAACCTGACGAACGTCAAGGTGAATCAAACAAAGAGTATACACTTCAAGAACTGGTGCCAGTTTTAAATTATGTCTGTCAATTGAATTTAACATATCAGATAATGCTTCAGATTCATTGTCCTAGTAAAAATAATAAAAAATAAATAAATGCACCCTTAGAAATTAAATAGTTTTTGCTATTTTTTAGTAGATATATTAATGTAAAATTAAAGAAAAACCAAAAAGGTAGTTCAAGGTGAACATAACCAAAAGATGACGGGTGTGATCGGATCATTGGCAGAGTTCCAAGTCGATGGAGAATGGTCAATTTATCAAGAAAGAATGGAACAAATTTTTCTTAGTAAACACAATACCGGAGGAACGCAAAGTACCGTTGTTAATTACATGTATTGGGGAAAAAACTTGCAAGACACTTGAAGATTTGTGTGACCCTATAATACCATCCGAAAGACCAAATAAAGAATTATGTACTGTATTAGATAGGCAGTTCTCTCCTAAAGTATCAGTCTTCAGACAGCGAGAAGAATTTTATAATTCAAGACAAAATTCAAATGAAAATGTGAATGATTGGTATGCAAGAATAAAAAATTCAGCAACAACATGTAAATTTGGACGAGGACTAATTGATGTTGTTGTTATAATTGTTATTTGGCATTTTTATCAAGTAAGCAGGAAATTAATTTAGTGAGAATTTATGAGAGACTTAGTCATCTATAAACCTAAATTGTGTCGAAAAACCTAAAACCAAATAATGGATCCAGTTTGAAAGAATCAATTGATTGATCAAAATTAAATCAATTAACTGGCCCATAGGCACACTGACGGTTTCACACTAACATTTACATACAGCAAATTTGTCATTATCCCAGCAATAGGATTATGAACTTTTACATGGGACTACCTATAATGGTTAAAATATATCATTCTTATTTCATTGAGTAGACAATTAACAGAAAATACTAATCCGCAAAATATACAGAATTTCAAATTTTATATTTCTAAATGAAAAATCAAATATATCTAACATAATCTATATAGAATTCAACGAATAAATTATAAATAAAACATTTGGGTGGGAGTTCAGATTATCATAAAATATGTTCCTTGAAAAATGTACACTTCCATTTCAAGTATGACAACATTTTGTGTAGGTACATCATGTAGTATGAACCATAATCAAAGTTCATTATTAATTATTAAATTACCTTGCCTTAAAATGTATCTTATCATGACAAAGCTGATGGTGTGCAGTGTGCAGCCTTCCGTATTATATAGGTACACCTAAATACAAATCATTTACAACACAATATAGTTCAGGTACTTAGGTCGTATGTGGTACCTATGTGATATAAAATATGTGAAGCTTAACGGTTCACAATACGATTTATTTCCAGGCGCCGATCCAGGTCGATTGTAAAATTGAAAATATAAGAAGTACTTACCCGCCTGGGTCAATGGCCGACAACTGCAGTAGTTTACAATCAATAATCAATTCGACGAAGTATTAAACGCGACGACGAGATAAATTAATTACGATATCATTATAAAACCACGGCAAATACATACTCCTGACTTCTGTCTTCTCGTGCAGGTGTCAGACTGTCAGGTAGGCGCAGGCCGCAGGTCAAGTTCAGAAACAATCCTTCATGTCCGTTTTAAAAATATTTCCCAGTAATAAGAGATGGTGATATAATAAAATTGTAAATCTATCTGAATCCGGTGAAAAGCCTGAAAAGTAAAAACTCGAAACAGTCGAAACTGAAAGTCGGAAATCGTTTCGTGATTTGCTGTTTTATACGAGCGTTTTGATTGGATAAGGCTTATAAATCATGGTTAAATATAATAAATTAGCCATGTTAAAAATAGTAGTCTCAAAATCCATAACCATAGAAAAAAAAATATATTATACCAGCCATACCAATGGTAAATACCAAGGCGGGTTTCCACTATACACGTGAGCGCATTCGTGCATACTGCATACAATTCATAGAGTAGTAATAATAATAATATTACTATATGATACAAATCCTTTGCTGTGATTGGTTGTTTAGGTTAGGTTTCCACACGTTTAACCGTGTTACCATGTTGTTGGACTTAATAGTGGAAACTAAATAATCAGAAATTCAGAACTAAAAATTCGGTATTTCAGTTGATTATTGAGTAATCAATAATCATTATTAGCTTATAATATTAAGTATATATTTATCAACGTTTGTTTCGTTTTCCGATGGTAGAAGGTAATATATCCATTGTAGATAACAATATAAAATTATGTTTCCCCATTTGGCATTTCCCCAGTTCATATATTTAATAGATGTATAAATAATAGCTGTACTATAACCGATCGGATGCCCTTAAAAATAAAATTAATGCGCAACGAGATCAATTTCGTAAGTACCTACTACCAGGCCCGGATAAAGCCGTGGAGTTATTGAGTTGAACTCGGTGGGCCGCTTAACATTTGGGCCTGTTTGGTAGTATATTTATTATTTATCTATGTCAACTATAGCATATATAATTTAATATTTATATTGTATGATCTATGATGTTATTACTTATATTATTAAAATATGGATAGCTATTTATGTTTTTATCTTATTGAAAGATGGGCCGCTAACTTTTTTAGGGCCGGTTAAAATCGTATAAGGTTACGGTCAGACTATATCCGAATTCGGACGGAATTGAGTTCGGCCGAAGACGGCCGTCTTCGGCCGAAAACAATAATACCCCGCAATGTAATTGTTGTGGTCAGATTACGTCCGAATTATTCGGACGAATACGTCCGACGTCGGATAAAATCAAAATATTTTGTTTTTTCCGGCCGAATCCGCCCGACGCGGAGTCCGTTTCAGCATGAAGCCATGAACTATTTTCGTCATATTGACGAAAATGGCCATATTTTACCACTTATAATTTATTTATATAAAATTGTTTTGGGCTATAAAATTATTTTTGTATATTTCTTCTTGCAAGTTATTTACAGTACCTTGTTCATTTTGTGCAATTACGAGAACCTCGTAGGAGTGGTTGGACCTGTGTTTTCAATTGAATTGAATATTTTAAATTTTATCAGATTTGAGTATCCTTTTAAACTAATAATAATAAACTAAGAATGATTGATTCAGAAAAATTAATTAGTTTAGTTCATGACCGCAATGCCTTGTGGAATAAAAAATCTAAACATTACCACAATAGAGACATAATTAGGAAACTTTGGGATGAAATAGCTACAGAAATGGAAACTAAAAGTGAGTATTCAAATTAAAGTAAACTATTATAAAAATTAATTTTTCTATTCATAATTCATACAGATACAATAGTATAATGTAAGTAAGGTTAAAGCTAATAGGTACAATATACTATTAACCTAATTTTAAATCTTAAAAATTATTAATAATCTTAAATTAGGTTGGTATAGGTATCTATCGAGGTATCTACCTGACTACTTAGTTAAAATCAAAGGTTAGATATATAGGTAATAAATACTTATAGTCAATACAATTTATTAATTTTTAAGTTAAAATTATTTCATATTACTAACTTAATTAGGTATTTTAAAAATGTACAGCTCCAACATTATTAAAATACTCTTTGAAATTATCACGTATTGCATAGGCTGCAGTTTTAGAACGATTGTTTCGTCTTGATATTTCAATTTCTGTATTGGTTTGATGAATATTTACAAGAAGCGTATCATCAATCCCTTCCTGATCGATAATTATATTATGTAATAAACAGATACATTTAACTATTGTGTCTACGTGATCTTCATTAACTTGTAATTCCGTTTTTAGACACCTCCACTTTGATACTAATATACCAAATGTACATTCTATCATTCGTCTGGCTCGACTAAGACGATAGTTGAAAATTTCTTTTTCTGGATCCAAATTTGTGGTGCATGGATATGGTCGCATCAAATATTCTTTTAGTGGATATCCTTGGTCTCCCAATAAAACAAAAGGCATTGGAATATTTGTGTTTGGAAGTGGTCTGTTGGGTGGTACATTAAAAGAATTTGTTTCTAGGTAATTATATATATTAGACTCAGTAAATACACCGCTATCACTCTGTTTTCCATACGCTCCTATGTCCACTGTAATAAATTTATATTTTGCATCACACACGCCTTGCAAGTGTACCGAAAAATAATTTTTATAGTTATAAAACATTGAACCAGTTTTTTTTGGACATTTTATGCGGATGTGTTTACCGTCAATGCACCAGATACAATTAGGAAAATTCCACAGAGTTTCAAAATCGTGAGCAATCTGGTAAAACATATCTTTCGTCGGAAAAGGCATATGAATTTGTCCAAAAACATTCCAAATTGTGTTACATGTTTCATAAATTATTCCACTGATCGTGTTATGTGCCATACGAAATGAAAATGCTAATGATCTATAAGGAGTTCCCGTAGATAGAAACCTAAAACATAATTTAAAATGTGTAAGTTAGTAATCTAAACCTAATTACACACTTAAGAAAAACACCTAATCATACAAAAATCATAATCATATACAGGGTGTAATATTAAGACTTGACAGATTAAATGATTTACAATTTTATGGTAGAAACATTAATTATCTAAGTCAAGTAGTTTATTTTTTAGAATTTTTTACAATATCAATATTTTTTTAGTAAATTAATTTAGAACGTAATAACTTTTTTCAAAATATTTTTTTTAGGAATTTGCTGATATGAGTATATTTCTTAAATTATTTTTTACCTAATAATATAATTTCCTCAATTTTTGTCCTACATTGAAGTGAAGTAGCATCATTTTTTTTTTCATGTTTTCCTGTTACACTTGTAGTTGGTGTAACCTATAGATTACAATAAGAGTGTGACATCAAGTACAACGTTTATTATTTTTTATTACAGAAAACAAAAAAATTAAATATCTTATGTACATTTTTTTTAAAGCTCAAAATAGCCTATTTTAGATTTTGAGCAGAGCGATGTATGCATATGTAATGATTTTACAATGATGTTTTTTTCAGTGTGTACACAATAAGTTATCGAAATAATGATTCGATTTTCAATTTTAGTATCTTTTCTGCTGGGAAAGAGAATCTAGTATTAGTACATTGGAAGGTTGCAAAATTAGTTGAGTAATGAGTTGGAAATATAAAAATATCATAGATATGAAAATTTAATAAGTACAAAGTTCCTAACAAGTTTATCTACCTTAAACAATAAAAATATGTTTCCTGGAGAGTCAAGTTAAATTTTTATAAGCGTTTTTTAGAAAAACTTAAAATTTTTACAACATTCGATTTTCAATAGATTTCTCACGGAACGATTTTCTTATTTCATTTGTTATTTAATAACGAATAACCACAGTTACATACAAATTACACCAAATGTTTATTTTATCTTAATGAAATACATACTAAAAATATTTTGAGTCTTTTTGAGCTGTTTCAATTTTAATTTTTTTTGGTTTTTTTTTCTACAAATGTCAATAAAATTGTATTCATTGCATCAAAAAAATTTACTTTATAATACAATAATCCTCGAACATTGTTTCAATATCCATTTAAAAATATTAAAAATACATAGGCAAGATTTTTTTTGCAAGCATTTTAAGTTCTAATTTTGACAACATTTATCAAATTGAAAATTTACAAATTATTTTATTGGTAGCAAAAATGTATAAAATTTTACATTTGTATACCTAAGGATTAAAAACTTTAAAAAAAGGTTAGTTTATACTGTAACTCAAAAATCAAAAAAGATGGGTTAAGTTGATGTCGCTCTGCTGTACAGTAGGTGTGCAAGTGGATGTTAATTTTGAATTCAATGATATAATATCATTGTATACGAAAAACAATTCTGAGCTGAGACGGTTTGTCA